CTTAGCTTTCACTTGTAAAGAAATCTATTTATTCAAAGGCTATATTAGGTGCCATGGGATGAACAAGTTTAAGACAAAGGTTGGGAGGGGTAGGAGGGCCTGAGACATTGAGATAAACACATAATTCAAATGCATGCTTCTACTTCAGCCAACTAAGCAATCTAAGTTGGAATTTGCTTATTATATTTGTCTTTTATGACTTGATCCTCCAATAATAATAACTCCCTGGAATGCACGAGGCTTTACATGTCAGAAACCAGATCTTTGTCATTTATTACTGAATCCTCAACACCTAGCACAGTGTGTGGCTCACATTAGGTGCTTAATACATGTTTGTTAAATGGATAAAGAGCTCTCCTAAAACATCTTCCAGAGCTTTTCAGATCTTACTATCTTTTCTTGAAGGGCAGCGGTAATCACATTCTCCTGTTACAAAGTCCCCAAATAAACATAACTCTGTGAAGGTCCTCTCTATCCTAGCCACGCCCTAAATTTCTAGCTTCTCTTCCAGTCCTCTCCTCTCCCAATCTGAGCACCAAACTCACCAGAAGACTCTCTGTTCTCTTACTCATGTTCTAGAAGTTTCTCTTTCGGAACGTCGAACATTTTTTTCACCATATTTCTCTGTCAAAATCTTAACCATCTTTCAAGGTCCTCCTCAAGTGGTTCTGCTTCATGAAAACTGCCCTAATGTCCTCCAAGGACCCAGTATCCTTTGTCTCTCTCTGTGACTGAAGCTAAGAGGGGATCCCCAAGCTCCTTGTATTCCCCAAAGGGACCAGCATGAACTCTGGCACAGAATAGTTTGTCACCAATTATATTGTTGTTGTCTAACAGGAATCACAGAAATACCATGCAAAGAGCATTTGGTCCCAGAAAAGTTGTGTGTAAGATTAAATTAGACAAAAGCACCCAAGTCTTCCCATAAAAGAGCAGAAAAATCTCTCTAGATAGGCCAGAAAATACTGGGCCACCCAAAGTTGAGGTAAAAGCAAAAGTCATGGCAAAAAGAGAAGAAAAATCCAGAAGAGAGATAAGAGATGAGAAGGCATAAACCTAAGGGGACTAGAAGTTAATCAAAAGTATTTTTCTCTACAAATGGCCTGGTAGCTTGATGGCATGAAGAAAACCCATGTCATGGGGATTTTCCCAAATCATCAGAAAGGTTTGGGCAGAGCATGCTAGTGATTTCTCAGATTTCTTCTCTCTTCTCTCTCTCTCTTTTTCTTTTTGCACGTTGGATTTATGTTCAGGCAGCCACGTGCTTCCTAAAGATCTACACTTGGGCAGGACTTGATTTTTATTTATGTATCTTCATGCATTTGGGAAATATCTAACTTTGGAAATAGATCTCCTTGCAGTCTTTTCTACCATAGACTGGGATAAATGTTGAAGTCAATCTGGGGGAATAGCCAAGTATTGTAAGAGTCTATAAATCCTGGGCTGCTTTCCATAAAAACAGGTTAATTCCACACATAGAACAGGCCACAGAGCAACACATGTGAATAGCTCACCTCTTGGGCATCTAGAGCCAAACTCTCGAAGCAGCCAGACCAGCTCTGCCACTCACTCACTGAGTGACCTGTGCCCCCATAACTTCAGCTGTAAGAGAGGGTCTAACTATACCCACTTCATGTAGCTGTCCTGAAGATTAAATGAGTTTATAAGTGCCTAGAACAGTCCCTGACATGTAATAAGTAGTTGATAAACGTTAACTAAAATTGAGGCCAGGTAGTGACGCAGCAGTAACACAACTGGGCACATATAGGGAAGTTCTGAACTCAAATTTGGGACCACCCTAATCTCACCAGATGCATGCATGTGTCCATAATCCAGGCCAGCTGAGACTGGGAAACTGGGAGTGGATCACAGGGTGAAGACCCCACTAGGAATACCTCTCTATATGTATCTCTTAGAAGAAAGAAAGAAAAAAACCTTTCTCTCTTTTTTCTATTTTTTGTTTTTGTTTTGTGTTTGCTATAGGGCACATGCACCTGCTGGAGAAAAAAAAGAGGGAAAGTGAGAAATCAACCCTAGGGGCGATGACCACAACACAGTCCCTTTTTCTCTATCCCTTCTCAGGATTTTGGGCGCGCACACACATACACACACAGACACCATATTTTCCAAGCCACCAGGTCCAGGACTCAAACCACCCACTTGGCCATACCCCCTGGCTGGCCCAATAAGTAGATCTATCTCTAAAGTTAACTATTATAATATCATTATTGTCATCTGATAGCATTACTTCACGATCCATTGGCACAGAAATAGGTGCCAATTTATATGTGGGGTTTTCAAAAAGTTATGCATACTATGAAAAAAACTATACATTAATTTCAAATATTTTTGTACCAAAATAAACTCCTACTTTAATTCCATTTTTCTCATGATCTGTTCTTTTCTTTGAGAGAGATTTTTGCTATAGGGCATATGCACTCACCAAAGAGACAGAGACAGAAAAACAGAAAGCGAGTAATCACTCCCCAGGGGAGATGGCCATGCCATAATTCCTTCTACTCCATTCTCCTCTCAGGATGTTGGGCATGCATGCACATACCCCAGCATGAGTTTGAAGCCACTAGTTCTGTCACTAGAACCATGGCCCATCACATAGGAGTCCAGTGACTTAACCACTATGCTACTTGCTGGCCCCTCTATGATCTTTTTGAAATACCCTCATACAGTTGCAAAAATTATGTAAGTGACGTCATGAGGGGGTGGGGCTGCAAGAAAACAGGCCAGGACTGTGGCCAGGTGGAGTTTGGATGAGTCTGTGGGTACTGGGTACATGGGACATGTACAGAGTGTGTTATCCAGGAAATTAGAGCTCCAAAGACAAGCCCTTGGTACCACATGTACCACACCACCCACAAGAGTCACATGCTTAGGCACAGCACAGAACAGTAGAATGAAGCTGAGTTAACTTTGAATTCTGGACCCAGGTCCCCCAGTACTTCCACCCACAAACGTGGCACCTCCTGCCCCTCACTTAAAAGACAAAATGCACATGAAGGTGATTAGAAAAGTATCAAATGAATACAAATACAAAATAATGTTGTAACATCTTTGGTTTCTCTACTTGCTTAGTGGCTCAGGGAAAGCACTGGACTCATTATCCAGAGATCTGGGTGTTCACTAATGCTCTATGTAGCCTCAGAAATGTCACCTCATCACTCTGGACCTCAGATTCTCATATCTCTTTTTAGGTTTATTTTTATTTATTTAGACAGGGGTGCAGTACCCTTGAGAAGGTCTCGTCATTCCAGAATCATTCCCCTAGCCTCCCAGTCAACCAGGATCATGGACATGCACACCTGGCACATTCAGGTCAACCTGGGCTCCAAACCCAGGGTTTCCCATGTGGCTCCAGTATCCGGAGCAGTACCTTACCATCTGCACTTTATCTTTACATGAGAGTTGGTCAGAGTGAGTTCTAAGGTCTCTAGTCTGAAAAAATAAATGCCTCCTTGATATTTGGGTCCAAGGTAATGTCTTGCACCAAGAGATCTCCAGAATTTTCTTGAATCATGTTTGTCTTCCCAGTCTCATTTGTACACAAGAACCTGTGAATTCCAGACCACAGACAGTCCAGCTTCTAAGACCTTATACTGGGACTAGCAGATGGCGTACTGGTTACGTAGCTGGACTTCCACATGTTGATCACAGTTTGAGCCCTACCCAGTGGCTTGAAAATCATGCCAGGCACATGTATGTGCATGCCCAAGATCCTGGGAGGAGAATGGAAGAGAAGAGATTGCAGCATGACCATCCCCCTTGGGAGGAAGGAGTGCTTTCTCACTGTCCCTGTCAGTGTCTCTGAGCGCATGCTTCCTAAAGCAAAAACCTAAAAACCTCTAAAAACAACAACAAAAAAAACCTTGTGTTTGAGAACTGAGCCCTAAGATATATGTGCAGAGGTGGAGGGATGACAAAGCAAGAGGAGTCATTCTGTTGAAGAGGGCATCTTCCACATTCGGACTCAGTGTCCCAGTTGTGGGCATTTTGTCCTGTGGCCATACATAACAAAGAAGAACAGTTTCCAACTTCAGAGCAGCTTCTCTGAAGCAACAGGAGAATGCCCTCCCCACTGTACTCTGAACTTAGGATAAAAGCAGAAAGTCATCCAGGGACCCAACCCCAGATCTCAAGCACCATTGCTCAGCAGCCTCCAATGCTCTTTCCCACTGAAAAGAAAGAGAATGGGCAGGGAAGAACAATTGGGATAATTTGTTTGAGGGATGGAAAGCAAATACAAGGGTAATAATGTAGGAGAAGACAGTGAAAAGCAGAGAACCAGATAGAAAGCAAATGGTCATTTCTAGTCCTCTCAGCCTCAGGAGGAGGCACAGAAATGGGCAGTAAGGTGGAGAGAAGGCAGGGAGCAGGGAAGTGAGCATGAGGAATAGAAAGAAAAGCAGGAGTATGGCAGGACAACAACAGAAGACATCTTAGCCTGGAGGAGCCCAAGGCCCCTACCATAGTCAGCAAGACAGAGACCTCTCATCTTGCACTTTCATCTTGTATTAAGCTTTAATAAGCATTGAAAATGGCAAGTCATATTCAAGCAAGGTCACAACAGAACTATCCTGTGGGAAGTGTATGCACGCTACCTGTCAGGTAGGCTACCATGAGAAAAGATTGAGAATTGCTGTCGTAGAGGTCCAGGCATCCAGACCCCAATCAGAACGCTGACCGCACACGTGGATTCATGTATCCAACAACTTCTAATCTCCTACTATGCACCAGACCTGGCATACTGTTCATTTATATCCTAAGCCCAATGCAGTGTGTGTACACAGCAAGAACTATTAATAGTAAATGCCTATTAACGAAATGCATGCATTTGTCTTCTTTATCAGGTCTCAATACAATTTCAGTGTATTCTCTGGAAATGTTCAATTCCTTCCCCTTTCCTGTGCTTAAAATCTATGATGCTATTAGAAGTGTAGATCATTTCCACTGCATTTCCCTTGAATTGTCTGTTTTAATCTCTTCAGGTGTGATTGTGGGGTGTCCAAACCCAAAGCTGGAAAAGAAATCCATTTCAAGTGGGCAAGGCTGTGTCCTCTGGAGCCCAGGACTTGCCAGTGAGCTCAGAGGGTCCTCAGCCCCAGTTTAGCCAAGCACCATGGAGAGAATCACCTCCTTCTTCAACTCTATCTGGGACACCATCTTGACCAAACACCAAGAGGGCATCTTCAACACCATCTGCTTGGCTGTCCTCCTGGGGCTTCCATTGCTGGTGGTTCTCACACTCCTCTTCATCTGTTGCCATTGTTGCTGGAGTCGGTCAGGCAAGAGCACCCAAAAGCCAGAGCAAAACAAGAGAAAGAAAAAGAAGAAAAAGGATGAAGAAGACCTCTGGATCTCTGCTCAGCCCAAGCTTCTCCAGATGGAAAAGAGGCCATCACTGCCTATCTAGTTAGGCAGGAAGCAGGGGTATCCCTCTAGGGCTAAGCCCCTTCCAGCCACACACAGACTAGAAACAGGAATCCCTGAGATGACTCTCATGTCCACAGAGCAATTGCTCACCCAAGGAACAGACCTCAGACTCAATGTCCCAATGGAGGGCACTTCCTAGGGACCATGTGGGTGATTCTTGGGCACTGTCTTGGCAGCTACGTGTCCAATAACAATGCTCTTTACTGCATACCCAGGCATGTCTTCTACTTGCCTCTGGCATACCCCATACCAAAACGCACAAAGAACATTTATTAATATGGCTCCCCAGTGTGTGAACACTCATACCACACATACACATGCAAATACAGGCAATAGGTACATGGGCAAGTATATTCTGTTCATCTGTTGTGTACTTTGTGCAAGGAAATGCATGATCCACCCTTGCAAAAATATCTCATGGCAAGGCCTAGCCAGATGCAGGCACATATATACATTCTGTAACCAGGGCAACGACCTGATGCACTGTCCATTCCATATGCCACTCAGGTTAGAGAGGTATGCTTTCCTATTTCAACATGATTGGATGTTCCAGCAACCTAGTATAGTCCCCACCCTGTGCACATCGATAGAGACACAGCAAGTGCCTGTACTTCTGACCCTTCACTTGTGCTTGAAAAATGTGGTAGATCAAAATTTATTGAAAGCTCTTTTGTTGCAACTCATGAGAAAATACTCATAGCCACTGATGGGTGTTTAATGTGGTCCAAGGCCTCTCTTTAATATGCTTCTCCAAGAACCACTCAGCAAGGAACCCCCTCCAAGCAAAAATGAACAGGTCTTGGTAGGGATCACTGGAAGCCCATGTATTCTCTTCAGTGAGCTGCAGTTGTGTGCCTGTGCAATGTAGGTTTAAAGATGGGAAGAGTAAGGAGATGCCAGCCATCTCCTGATGAACCAAAGATGGTCCCCTGTGCTGCTGCACAGAACACAGACTAGAAGTGGTTTCACAGGTTCTATGGGAGCATGGTGTGTGGTAGTGGGATGCAGAAGTAACACAGTTTAAATGAAAGGGTGAATCTATAAAGAGGTTTGTTCATCTTTATCTTCAAGCTCAGGCAAGTGTCTTGCACACAGTAGGTACTCATAACTATGGTTGCTGTTGGAGGCATGACAATGTTAAGAGTACACTCAAAATACCTCGCCAGTTCCTCCCAAGTGAGCTTCTCTAGTAAGTGAGCCCACTAACTGCTGCAATGGATGGATTGAGGAGTTAAATTCTAGAGTTCAGGCAGAACCAAGGGTCATGGGACATAAGTGCCTGAAAGTACCACCTGAGATGTGTGTACCAGAGAGGGTGTCCTCCACCAGGCTGAGGTAGGAAGGCAGAGGGAATCCATCCACATGACAATTGGTTGCCATTTTGATTCGTGTGGTCATATATGAAAGCAACTTGTTCTCTGAAAGTTCCTTTGCAGATTTGCTGGGGAGCTCTCAAGATGTTTTCTCACAAAAGCTGTTCTAAACAGTGACAAAATCTCTGTCTAATTAATAATGTAGTTAAACTAAGATATTTATAAAACCAACTATCTAAATTCTGTAAGGCTATATGAATGGAGAGATGAACTCTGTTGCTCACTTGAGCAACCTGGTACTTTCCTGCCTTTCAGGTGTGCTCCAGACCTGTGGAGGGTGGGCATCTGACAGTGATTCTCACCAGGATCTTCTAACTGGTGGCCCAGTGAATCATAATTCAGGCCTGCATATATTTTAGGGCCTCTTTGTTGCATGGCAATAAATGCTTGGGGCACTCAAGGCCCTGCTCATAAACTCCTCTGAAAGAAAGAAGCACTCTGATCCTCTGTCCCTTGTCACATGGAGAGTTTGTCATGAAGTATATAATGGCCCCCTTCATATCACAGGATGACTAGTCACCTCCCCACATCTGCCACTGCCCACAAAGACAAGTCACCCTTCTTGTCTCCAACTCTCAATCCCCCTAAAGTGGATGACTTGGGGGAGACATGAAGGCTGACAGCTGAGACAGGGTGTCAGATATGATCCAGGAGAGTGGATCTCCCGGACCAGGGACCAACACGAAACATGGTTTCCATGGCAACTGGTTGCTAGTATGAATTAAGACAGCAGTCAGTTGTCATTGCCCTGACAGGCCCCCGTCTCCAGGCACAGTGTCCCTGCTGTCTTCTAATGGAATGGACCTGTTTTAGCTCCAGGCATGAAACACTCAGAAACTCACTTAGTTTCTTCCATAGTCTGGGATCCAGAGACCCACACCCTGAATACAGGGCTGATCTTCTATGCCCCAGCCTCCCCTGATGAGCTTCACTGGACTGCCTAGAATAGTGCCAGTTCTGTGATAGCCCTCACATTTTTGTTGAGTAAATGGATGCATGAAGCCTAAAGCAATTGTTGTCCACTCTCCTTTCTTCCCACTTTAATCCTATTCTTTGCTCCCATGTTTTATGCTTTTCTTATTTCCTCTATTCTTGCTCTGAGCCAGTTTTATTTTTTTTTATTCCTTTCCACTTTTCTCTTTCTTCCCAGTCTCTGTCCTAGAACTGCTACTGGCAACCCATGGGACTTCAGGGCCAAAGCCTGCTTGACTCATTTGAGGAGGTTAAGTTAACAGGGACAACAAGAGGGTTGATAAGGAAGAGGCTTCCTAAGCCAGCACCTGCTTGGTTTGGGGACCCCCTAGGCCTGGATTCCTGAACAGCTTCAGCCAGACTCAGCCAACAGTGGGAGGTCCTTCCCCATCACTCAGTGGATTTGCTTTCTCTATGTCTTGGAGGGAAAAAGAGTAGTTACCTCTTTAAGAAGAATATAAATGGTCAACATTGTATAGTATTTGTCAGTATTTCTGTTTCTGTAAAATGCGAAAACCCATAAAAGAAAAACCTATTTAAATAAAATACTTGGAAAATGTAAAGTTATGCCTGGCCTCTTTATTGGCTGGAGTCAAATAGCAACTACCTTCATATTAGGTATGACCCCGGCTCAAACATTCAGAAAAGGGTTATGCCTGGCCTCTTTATTGGCTGGAGTCAGATACCAACTATCTTCATATTAGGTATGACCCCGGCGGCTCAAACATTCAGAAAAGTCCCAACCCCACCCAGTTACTGCCTTCCCAGTTGGAGTCATAGGTCAGAGGGCCAGGAAGGTGGCTGCCTCACCCTGCTTGCAAAGCAGGTGCCTCAGACACCAGACTCCCTGAGGACTGCTTGCTGCAGAAAAACCCACTGAAGTTCCTTGGCAGTGCTTAGAGAACCCAACCTTCCATGAGATCAGACAATGTCTTCTTAGCAGAAAAAGAAGGAACTAAAAAGAACTAGTAGGAAAAAAACAAACCTCTGGGCTAACTCCAGTGTTAGAGGAATCAAAAATCTCTATAGTAGCTACTAGAAATGGAGAGAGAGAGAGAGATGCATATATTGGGTTGGTAAAGAAGTCAGGACATATTTTCCATGTTTTTCTGTACAAAAATGCATCATGACTTTTCTGATGACACAATGGGGGATTTCAAGAAAGTTCATAGAAAGACGAAGTTAAAGAATGTGTTTATTTGGGTGCAAGAAAGTTTTGAAACCCACAAGCTTTTTCCTAATAGGTATTTTCCATGAATTTTCAAAGACCTCACATTTGTGCCAAGATGACCTTATTTTCAGTCAACTGTGCCTTGCATTGATTATGAGATGAAATGATGCCGGTGCTCCTGATTCTTCTCCCAACAACACTAAACTTGCCATTCAGGCAGAAACTGGAGCATGGTTGTCTGATAGACCCAGGAATGACAGAGACTTTCTCTAACTACACTGTGCAACATGGTACCAGTGGCTGTGTGCAGCTGCATAAGTGCATTAAAATGAAGAATTAATGGTCCACAGGTTTAGTTACACCAGCCGTATCGCAAGTGCTCAATAGCTACATGTGGCCAGTAGCTGCCATCTTGAACAGCATAGGTCTATAAGCTCATGGAGAAGTGGCCAAATAGCTTGCTAAACGAAGGCCTACTATTTCTGTAATTCTAAGTTGATTCTTGGGCTCCTTTTCCCCTTGCCACACACAATGACAACCAGAGAACAGACTTTTCACTCAGATGCCTCGAGGACATCCCCCAAACTCTCCAGTGTAGAGGAGGGAACATCATCTAGAAGCCATGAGGGAAGGGAAGGCCATTGCCCACATGAAGGGCTGCCAGAGCTAAATGTCTGACTTGGAGGTGTGCACACGGGTTTGGAGAACGCCACCCCACCATCGGCATTTTCAGCTCACCAAAGTACTCTGCACTGCCCCTTGCCCTTTGCTCTTAGCGTTATTCCCAAACTCAGTCACAGAATGGCAAGACTGAAACAGACTCCCTTCGACCAGTTTTTGTTTTTGTCATAGTTTCAAAGAGACACTGTTGGCACTTGTGTGGGCAATTCTACACAGAATACTCCGTTCAGAAATGATGGGACTGAGGCATGCATCCATCCAGTCCTCTTTTTTATTTGTTGCATTTATGTAGACAGAAACAGAGCAAAGAGACAGCACCCCCAACAGCATCCTAATGCCATAATCCACCCCTAGCCTCAGCCAGCATGGGATCATGGGCACACAGAGGCCCGGTGTACTCAGGAAGGTCTCCAGATACAAACTCAGAACCTTCCATGGAGGTTAGCCTCACATAGCGTTGTATTTTACTGCTGTGCCTCAGCCAGCAACCCAGCTCCCTGTTAAGCCCATTTACTCCGTTTATATTTTTGACTGTTTACTATGTGCTACACATCCTGGGTACCAGTGATAGAGTTATCCTGGAGGGGCTCACAGTCTGGTTAGACCAGGGACCAATGACTAAATGGTGTGATCATTGCTTCCTTCCAGGGAAGTTCAAGGCTCGCCTCAGAACAGGCTGTGGGGGAGATCATCTGGGAGCTGTATAGAGAGTTGCACAGAAAGAAGCTGAGAAAGGAGAGCACCATTCACTAGCGTGTTTTTCATTCATTTATGAAGAAAGTGATCAATCACTAGAAAATACAGCATGAAAGTATACCATGGAGGAGCAATGTGGGTGACGCCTAAGGAAGACCACTGGGGACCCACCAGAGCTCTCTAGAGACCCTATATGCAGTGGGCAGGAACCCAGGACAAAGGTCCCATCCTGACACTAACCCCAACTCTCACTGGTAATGCACCCCAGGGCAGAGTTAATGATAGTACCTGTCTCATAGGGATGAGAAGACTAAATGAAATAAGGCATTGAGCACAGAGCCTGATAGTAAGTGCTCAATAAATTTAGTCATTATTATTAAGGGTAAAAGGAAAATCATGAGAGAATTGTATCCTTGGCATCAACAGGGAACAAACTTTCAAGAAGAAAGTAACAGTCCACAGAGTCAAACGATGCATACAGGTCAAATGAGACAGGGATGGAAAGTAATTCTCATTTTCTTTTTCTCTAGTTGTAATGTGTTCCCTAATTTCAGCACACACTGCACTATCTACAGGATTATCAATACTCCATGAATTAAGGTTTCCCAATTTGCAGTATGTGACAGGTGAGGTATCTGAATTATCAGAGTCATCTCTGCTGGCTCCACACACAATCACACCACCCTAGCATCATAGCGCCATCTGGTGGCCATATCAGGAGAAAGTTTGAGCCAACCTCCTTTCCATCTCTCAGTCGTGTTTCCCTTAAAACATCAATCCACTTGTTCTCAAACCAAATACGCAAGAGTCACTAGGTTTTATGTGACAGTCACAAATCTCTCAGGATCAGGACTGCTGCACTTATTTGACACATGAGGAATTTCCATAACTCTCTGTTTCAACAATTTCAAACATATTTTTGTGAGGTGTTCATGTTTAGCATCATTGCCTACAAGAAAGCTTCCCTAACCACACGAATATTCCCCATCACAGCAAGATCAGGCCATATCACGACTGTGTATTTGCTGTATCCCCAGCATTCCACTCCCATTCCCGTTCCTATGAGAATCCGCATGGATAAAGCTAGGATTGTATCTATCTCACTCACGACTGTATCCTCAGACATCTAGCATTAGGCCTGGCACATACTATATGCTAAATAAATGTGTCAATTGGGAAAAAATAATCATTGAGTGTTTCTTAAAAGTGCATACTTCCAAGCCCTGCCCAGTGCTCACAGGTAGCACCACCACTTGAGAGGCTAAAAGCTATCTGGGAGGCCCAGATTCTGTTCCTGGGCCAACCTGAACACACGAGGCAGGCTGCACATGCCTGTGATCTGAGCTCCTTGGGAGGCTGGGGCAGGAGATCATAACCCAGTAAGACTCCGTCAAGAATACCTATCGTTGCCTCTCTCTGTCTCGTTCCTCCCCAATAAAGGCAAAAAGTCATATTCCCAGGCCCTTGGAGCCCTCCGCGATGACTAAGTCTTGGATGATGCCAAACAGCCTGCTCTGCTGAGAAGCACTCTGGGCAAATGCAGGTGTTCCCCGAGCCACACCTTGAGAAATAGTGTCTAGATAAGACACTCAAAACAAAAGGATTTTGTGCTCAAGATAATTTGCAGAACACTATTTTGACTTCTCCCGCCCCTAGAGATCTGCAATGTATATATCACCCTACAGTTTCTAACAGGTACTATGATGGAAAAATGGGTTTAACTCCACATTTTCCCATTGACAATAAAACTGCCTTTTTTTGTTTTAATTGTCAGAGCCATGTGTGCTCACCAGAGAGAGACAGGCGGGGAGGCAGAAAGCACCCTCCCATGGAACGTGGTCATGTCTCAATCCCTTGTCCTCCATTTCTCCGTACTGTTGGGAATCGGGGCACACATGCACAGGGCGTTTTGTGTTCTTTTCTTTTCTTTAAGCCACCAGGGCCACAACTTGAGCTGTGGTCAGTCATGTGTGATCTTCTCTTAACCACTAGGCTATGGGTCCAGCCCCAAACTACTTTTTCTTTAAGCACATGTGGAAGAATAAGGATTCTGGGAAACACCAATTGGGAAATGCTGCCATGGGCACATCCCATACTTTACCTGCTCTTCCACCACAGCAACTCAACCAGTATCATCCCCAAGGAAACCCTTTTGGAAAAACACAGGTTCTCCTTGACCTTTACTAACCACCTTCTCTTTTATGCATCCCTTCCTCTTTCTTCCATCTGTGACCCGTAATAATCTTATTGCTGGCTACACATAGCAAACTGACCTTAGAGATGGCTAGAGATATTCTCCTATCAAGGGTATTTTTATGAAATTACAAACACTAGGAATCCAAACCCCACATCTTACCATCCCAGTGTGCATTCACAATACAGCAAGAGCGCTTTCATTACCTCATGTCATTCCCACCATATTGTGAAGAAATGAGGCCCAATGAAGACAAGCCAACTTACCCAGACCTGAGGTGGAACCCATAGTCTCCAGACTCCCACCCCAAGGCTACTCCTGCATGCCAGGTACTCTGATCCAGCCTGCTGCTCTGGGCTCCTCAAAGACTGTTGAACTTGCAGGAGCAGGAGCACCACCTTTGGGTCAGGAAATTATTGAACACAATCAAGGATCCATACGCCTTCTATGTGCCCAAATGACTCCCTCAGCTGTTCCACAACAAGCCTCACCTACCTCATCACCCTTTTCTAATTAAAGCCCATTTTTTTTAACCCACCAAAATAAAGAGCCATATTCATTCTATTCTATTTTCTATTTTATTTAAATTATTGGGTCATCAAAAAGTCATGACTAATTTTTTTCTAACCAAAAATACATCATGACTTTTCTAATGGCATTTTATTTAAATTATTGGGTCATCAAAAAGTCATGACTCTTTTTTTTTTTTTTCTAACCAAAAATACATCATGACTTTTCTAATGGCCCAATATAATACTGCAATACTGCAGTTTTCTAGTTTTTCCCTTACATGTTCACAGTAATTCATCTATTTTGTAGAATAAACAGACTTTTATGGACTAACCTGGAACATAACTTCTTCATATAAACATTGAAATTGAAACTCAAAGCACTTCTCCCAAATTAACCAACTAATAGGAGGACTTTGGAAAGAATTCATACCTTAAGAACATCCTGAAATCGCTTCCAGGGGTGCCCCCTTCTCCTTCCATCATGCTAACACCTCCACCACCCTTGTATCACCATCCAGCCCAGCACACCAGATCTAGAGAGAGAACTCAGGTCTCATTGGGTAACTAACCTATTTAAGGTAGTTCCAATTATCTATTTGTGCATTAATCCAATAACACCGCCTGAGCAACCACCAACTGACAACTGGATGCTGTGCTAGAGTCCTCTGGCTGACTCAAGCAGGAAGAGTAGTGAGAGGTTCCCCCAAATATCCGCCATTGTGGAAGTGAGGATAGTGGCGTGAAGAGGCTCCCGGAAGGACAACACTGCCATCTCCTGGCTAGGCTGAGTATAGCAGGCCCCTTGCCCCAGGCGGTTGGCCTCAACCTGTAGACATAAACTCCCTCTGCACCGCCAAGTTTAGGGCTTGAGGTAATGATCTGAAAAGAGTTTTCTCCAGCGACCAACAAGATTTTGCCAGAAGCTTCTCACTGCAATACCTGTCTTTCTTTCAGCCATACTGCCTTTCATTGGCATGCCTCCCTGTCCACTTCTCTTATATATTCATTCGCCTGGTCTTTTCCTTCCTTGAGTCATTATTTTTCCCTGGCTCCTTCAATATTTTCTGGCTTTAACAATCCTCAAATACCTGAGAATTGTACAAAAAGGGGGGGGGGGCTCTTGGTTTCATTTGAAAACTCTGGGACCCTGTCACCAGAGGAAACTGCTGATGAGAACTACAACACTAAGCCTGAACATGAAAGGAGCCTTCTGCCTTTACCACTCATCCTCGAATCCTACCAGTTCTTCCTGTCTCATTAACCTGTACCCTCCTCTCTGCTCCACCATTTCTGCCACAGGCTGAGACAGTCATTAGCTCTTGCTTGAACTATTGCAGTTGCCCTAAACTTGTCTGGAAACCTCCGTCTTCTCTCCAAAACTTCTCTCAGAACCTTCTCCTGTCACCTTTACTCCATTCTCTATCCTGCCACCAGACTGGTGTGTCAAAATTCAAGCCTGGCTGGGTCAGCCCAAGGTTTAAACCCCTGTATGTGCTCCCCACTATGCAAATGCTTTCAGCCAAGTGGCAGCGTTCAACCCTGGCTACATGTTGGAACCTCCTGGGGAGATTTACAAGACTCACCTGAGACCCACAGAAGCGGTCTGTGCTGGGGAATGGGCATCTGTATCGTAAGCCCCCTCTGATCCTGATGGGCTGAGATCCACAGAAGAACGAACCCCTGCCCATCTCTCCAGCTTGCGGATCAATGCTGCGCTCCCCTCGCCCCTCTAGGAAACCACTGCCGCCTCACTCACACTCCACGCTTTCTCCTCTGCCACGTGGCTCCACTCAGGCAAATGCAGCCTCTTCTTTTCAGACTTAACACCAATGGCACCTCCCCAGGAGGCTCTTCTGCAACATCCAGAGCAGGAATAGTGACCCCCCACACTGCTCAGGTGTCCACACCCCAGTGGACTCAGTCTTCAAAAGTTCATGGAAAATGCATATTATGAAAAAACCACTGTGCATTGATTTCGAAATTGTTAGCACCAAAATAGTTGCACTTTAATTCCATTTTCCATGAACTTTTTACAAATAATGTCTAATGTACTTTCTAATTTACGTATAACCATTGTATATTTGCAGGGTACATATTTCTGCTCTGGAGGAACCTGACAACAGCACATGACAGAATGGACACGCCCCTGTTCATTGACCCCGGAGTTTCCCAATCACTAGCCCTGCAGAGGACTTTTGGGAAACTGAGTTGTTCCTGGCAAACAGTTTCTCTAAACATATATACAATGCATACTGATCAAATCAGAGCAAAAAATGTATCCACCATTTGCAACATTTCTCACTGCTTTGTACTGTGTGTACAGGCTGTGTGTATTCAAAATCTACCCTTTTGGTTATTTGGAAATAGATACAGAATTTCCACCCACTTTGTTTATTATGCTACAGTATTCCGTAACTCATTCCATTTACAGGTGCTCTTGCATGTTCGCCAAGTAGTCCCCATCCTACAACCCTTCATGAACTGGTTGTCTTGTCCTTTATGCCCAAGGGTGCGTGTGGGTGCCAACTGACCTTGGTCCTGCCCCACTTTCTCCTCTAATTCTCTCTCTCATTGGGATCCTGAGCATGCATGCACTGGGCCCAGTGGGTTTTCCAAGCCACCAGGACCAGGACTCAAACTGACTGGCTATGTGGGATCCAGCTTCCTCTGCATAGTGCTTAGCTGCTACGCTTTGAACTCAGTACTCAATGAATTTGTTGAAGTCCACTGTATAGCGATGGGGCTCAGTGATCTATGTTTTAACCAGCATGTTTCACAGCCTGCTAAAGTTGTGAGGCGTTGCCCACCATCCACCATTCTTGGCTCTGAGCCAGTCCCGGAGGTTTGATCCACTTTGTAAAGGAGTACTTCTCTTCTAAAACTCCTGAGCCTACTGGAGTGAGCCAAAGGAACAAACAGAGTCACAGAACACACCAGAAGAGAATTTAAGAAGACTTGGAATTGAGAAATTGTGTAGAAGGACATTTAAAATAGAAGAGGAAATTAGCTTAGGCTCAGGCCCTTACGAATTGGATCAAGAGTGAAAGGAATCTCTCAGGTCTCTGCAAATAGCTCCTTACCACAAACTCCAACCTCCATCTCTTAATCCTGCTTACTTTTTCTTACACAACACTTACCACTCCTTGAAATTCTAAATTTATTTGTTGTTTATTGTCAGTCTCTACCCCTAAATATAAGCACAAGGGCAGGAATATCATGTTTCGTTCCCTAGCACCAGTGTTAGCACAGAACCTGGCATGTAATTGATCTTAATACCTGTTGAATGAACAAATGAATAGCAGCACACAAGCTCCTTTAGTACAAGGACCATGTCTTACTCGCTCACCTCTTTGAGCCCACCTCCTCTGTCCATGTGGGTTTCCCCAGTGCTCCGTACGCAGCCTGATACAAAGCAGGCAGACATTTAGTAAACTGTCGTTGAATCAATGAACAACATGCAAGCATAGTTTTTAATGATCAGCTCCAACACCGAGACTAGACTTCATTCAGACCACCCATTAGAATGGCCAGCAGTTACCATGGCATTCTGGCTCAGTGTCTGCCTGGGGGTGTGAGAGGAAAGAGGGTGAAAGAGGAGGCTCCTGAAAACATTCAATCTTGACAAAAAATGCTTTCAGGAGTCTAGCTTGGCGCTCACCAGAATCTTAACACCTGGAGAACTTCAGCCATAACGAGAGCCCAGTTCCAGAGGAGCACGGCAGCTTCCCAGGTATTTGCCTTCCCTCCCACTCACTGATGGAACATTCCAAATACATGATTTGCCCTCCCAGAAGTGAGAGACCCCAGCTGACCAAATTCCATTACAGTGCACAAACTGTTCATTCACTTGCACTTAGGTGAAATTTAAAGCTCAAGTGCACTTACATGGGAAAAATAACACAAGGCAATTTTTTAAAATTATTTTATTTTATTTTATTTTATTTGGATTTTGCCATAGGTTGTCTGTGCTCACAGAAGAGAGAGAGAGGGAAAGTGAGAAAGCACCCCCTGCCCCCACAAGGAGAGATGGCCCTGTCACAATCCCTTCTCCCCGACTCTTCTCCTGGGATTTTGGGCATACATGCATATGTGCGCCACATCACTTTTTTTAGGACTCTAATCATTGTTGGCCACGGGGAAATCCAGTGCCTTAACCACCACACTACCTGCTGGCCCCAGCAAACTTTTTTTTAATTTAACTTTATTTATTTATTTATTTTAATTTGATCAGAGAGAGAGAGAGAGAGAGAAAGAGAGAGAGAGCAAACAAGCTGCAAGATCCAGGACTCAAAGCACAGTTGGCCATGTGGGAGTCCAGCGCCTTTAACCACCATGCCACCTGCAGTACCCCGCAACCAACTTTTTTAATCGAGTTTTTCTTTTTGTTTTGAGTAAGTAGGGATTTAAATCACTTCAGTGATCACTGACTGTACTACAGAAAACTTTCTGCAATGATATGAATATGCAAAAAAGGCTACGACTTGCCAAGTCAAGGTCAGACAGTAAAGCCTCCCCATGCTAAGAAAACCCCGGGGCTCAACAGAGCAGGGAGACAGGGAAGGACAGGGGCTGAGGGCCTGCTGGGTACGAAGGCGTTAGGGGAGAGCCTTTGGGAGGTACCAATTGTCGAGAGACTCAAACTACTTACACTTGAAATGAGTGAGAATTTATTTACAACATATGCAGATCTACAAAAGTGACTATGCCAATGGCTGGAAAGGGGATAGTGGAAAGTAGTAGAATGGGAGCTTTGGTTTCCAACTCGTTGGATATTAGACAGAACTTAGCTGACTGAATCCATCATGGCCCCTTTGGTTCCTGTCATTCTTCCTCTTAACACCAACAACTAGGGCGTGGATAATCCTTTTTTATTTTTTTTTTTTTGAAAAGCCAGAGGGAACAGACAGCAAGATCAGGTTACCTTTAATCATCAAAACCCCTCTCTGGTATTTCTTATAGAGAGAGATCTGTTATTACTAGAGCTTTAAACATACCCACTTATGTGTCAATATCTAGAAATTTCCAATTGGTGAGGTGCTAGATAACACACTTTTTTATCCTAATCCAGTATATTTACTACCGTAGTGATGCTGAAAAACCTTTCCGTTCCAATACTGTCTTTTCCATACACAGTGCCACCACAGGCCCCCTAGTGTAGAAGGGCAGAAATGCAGAATACAAGGAAGGAACCTCTGTGACTGAAGCTTGGTGACATGATTTGTTCTGTGGGTTATCCAGCCATCTCAGAAATTAGATGCTATGAGACTCCCTCAAAGTTCCACTCATTGGTCACCACCTACACACCCCCCAGGCTTATGCAGCCCGCACCCAGCTGGTCTTCTCTCCTGCGAGGGGCTGCTCTAATGGCCATCAGAACACTCTTGTCTTTCCTCTCAGTGTCCGCTTCTTTCTGCCCAGGGTGGATTCCCCGCTGTGGCCAAGAGGGCGGATTTTCAGCTCCACGTAAGGAATGGAGAATTCATGTCCTTTCCACGGCTCCCAGTTCACTCCCTAAGTAAAAAAACAATATTAATAAGAGTCACTTGGAAGGAGGGTGAAGAGGATACGGTACAAGGGAATCCTATCTCATTGAAGTCACCCTTTCTCTGCTTAAAAAACAAAAAGGGTGACAGTGGTGACAGGTATGGTCAGGGAAGTGAGGTCCCCAGCTAAAATTATGTACCCTTTGCTAGGCAACTGGAGTTAGATAGGCAGAGGGCTTGAAGCCATAGGCCTCAGGGGTCGGAGGATGGCCCAAGAATAGGAGGTCAAAAAGGCCAGAGCATCCCAAAAATAACCCAGGGTTAACCTAGCCAGCAAGGAGCAAATTATCTTTGTTTCACTCTTTTCCTTTCCAAAAAAATTAAAGGCAAAAATAAACATATTAATTGGCCAATTGTGTAAAATCATTTTCAATTTAGACTGTTTAGATATTAGCTCTGGGGTAACAAATAGCCTGCTGAAAACTAAATTTCATTTTATGTCTTTTGACTGGTGAGCACAATAATATTTAATTCACTTAATAACCTTGCAACCTGGCCAATAAAGAGCCCAAGTGACCAATTTTATGTATTTTAATTTGTGAGGTAAATAATAAACAAGAAGCTAAATGCCTTGCAGACTGTGAAAAGCACATTAACCAGATGAATGTCTTTTATTAGCAAATACAGGGATGGTTTAGGGCATGCTGGCTGCTCATTTCAAATATTTGATCTCTGATCACAGGCTTGCCTGAGTCAGCCCACCTGCTGCCCATGTGATTCATGAGCCTACCCTCCGTAGCCTCCCTGGGGGCAGATTTCTCCCTCCCTTCGAAAAATCACATAAGGATGGAGAGTTCTTGCAGCCTGGTCAGGACCAAAATCATGGAAATGTACCTGGACTCTCAGTGTGCTCATGTTTATGGTACTGTTGGTATGAGGTGGGTTCTGAGGAAAAGCAACCACCTATAGACTAGGATCAGGACCTAAAGTAGGCAATTAGAAACTCAGGAAGTTGTTGCCGGGAGAGGAGAAACAAAGATGCAATTTCAGAGACTGCCAGGGCCAGGCAGAAGGAACCCCATGGTCAGCCAAGAGTCAAGGTGATGTATGCTGCTGGTGAATGCTCGAGATATCACAAGCAGGAAAGTTTCTGAGCAAGGGACAGGAGAGGAACCCTCAGGAGCACATAGCCCTGTGCGCTCCTGCAATGAACAGGCTGGACCACCTTGTACTCTGGGCAGCCTGGGGGTGCCTGGGTAAAGTGAATCTAAAGCTGACCTAAAGAAGAAAAGATTTCATTTTCCTGGACCAAAAGATGAGAGAAATCTGAAGTCATAGCTCTGATGTAACTGGGAGAGCAACTAAAAAGGATTATGAAGTATCTGCCATGGACTGAGTGTTTGTATCTACCCTAAATTCATATGTTATGGTATTTAGAGGTGGGGCCTTTCAGGAGTAATAAGTTTAGATGAGGCCATGAGGATGGAGCCCAATGATGGAATGAGTGTCCTTCTAAGAAAAGAACACGACCAGATCTCCTCTCTACCATGTGAGGATACAAGGAGAAGGAAGCTGTCTGTAATCCAAGAAGAGGGCCTTACCAAGAACCAAATCTCTGGGGCTTTCATCTAGGTAGTCCACACCAGAGAACTGTGAGAGATAAGCCACTCAGGCTATACTGTTTTGTTATAGCAGCTGGTGCTGACTCAGTTGTTTGTGTGAACTGGCAAAGTAAGATGATATATAAGCCACATCTTCAGCCTTTGTGCAGCAGTGGACAGCCCTAGTTTCACACACACCAGCTAATGAGTAAGTGCAGCCAGTGGGTGGGTAGGCCAAGACCTTAAGGCCATAGAAAGGAGTTTGCAGAAGAAGAAGCTCTACTATCCTGACTGGAAACCTCAGAGCAAGATTGGCTGCCAGACAAGCTTGGAAGTGTCCCTTTGGGAGCTAAATGTGGGCAGAACCTGTTACCTACCTCGCTATGCTTGGTTTCCCCATATCTGCCATTGGGGTTGGCCAAGTGGCAATTCTTGTACCACCAGCCACCATGATGTGTCAGGGCACAGTTGCTGAGGGCAATATCATTGTCTCTGTCAAAAGTTGTAAATTTCCATCCATTGTGGTAAGTAAGAGCATCCCCTGCAGGAGAGAAGAGATGTAAGGTTTAACCACTTACGTGAAGAGCATATTCTGTCCTGAAAGAGAGCCTGGCAGGAAAATGTCTAGGCATGAAAATGCCAAGGATCCAATCAGTTAGATATCACAGGTAGTAACCACTCTTTCAAAATGACCAAAATGATACAGATGAGAAAGTTCTCTTCCCTGGCCTGTTACCCAAATGCCAGACCTATTTCTTCAAGGATCTAACAGCATCATCAGTGGAAGCTCCATAACCACAAGGATCCAAAATCAAATGTGTGACCTCTTCCCATAGACCTGACCACCCCTCACGTAAGATAACCACTCTCTGTTGCCCATCTGTGTCTGTATCTGTACCATGATCCTTCCCACCACCCAGACCTGCAACCCCTGAGCCTTATCATTACCCCGTTACCAAGTCCTTCTTCTACAGATCACTCATGTACACCCACCTCTCTGTTCTCATGGCTGCCACCTAGGCCTCTTCTCATCTTGTTGGGCTCATATTAACACAACCACCCTGTCTGCTGGTCCCTCTGAAGCTTAAACATCTGTTCTCTATTTCCTATCACATGAGGTATGTTGTTTTTCCTCACTTTGCAGATCTGCAACTTGGCTGTACCCTGTGGACAATCTCGCTTCCCAGTGTCCCACCGGGTACCCCCTGCTGTGGAGTGGACAGTTCACCTTCCATGGGGTTCTATCTGCCCTTTATCAGTCCAAATGCTAACCATCCCTCAAAGTCTAACTCAATTCTATCTTCTGAGGAAGATTCTCTTATTGATCTTCTCACCCACCCTTCTAACACACACACACACACAAGCACATACACTTGCACACGTGCACCTGAACTTGCAACGTTTTTCTGGGGACATATATACACAATACAGTGCATCATTACATCCTATCTGAAAAGCTGTTCTAATTATTGCACTTGCATTACTTCTAGTTCCCTATTATAGTTTTAATCCTTTTATAAGTTTATTTTCTTTTACAGCTCATAAAAGGCAATAAGGGCCCATATCAGTCATGAGCTTAATCAAGTTGTGATTCTGCAACAATGATATTTACACTTACACCTAATCTCCGAGATTGCCAATCATCTTAATCATTCCAGAGCACTTCAAACAGCTCATGGAAAAATGAAGTTAAAGTATGAGTTTATTTGGTGCAAAAATTTTGGAAATCCATAGTTTTTTTTCGTATTGCACATTTTCCATGAGCTTTTTGAAGACCTCTCATATTGTTTTCATTTGACTCCTGACAAGTCTGCAAGGGGCCAGGGCGGTACTTGGTCCCATTGAGGAAAGAAACACAAAGGTTAGACTCCAGGATTCATCAAGGACTTACTTAGTCTACAAATGGCAGACCCAAAACTCAAATCTCAGTCCTCAGATTCCAAATTCAAAGTCTACCTATTCATCTGTGGCTTCCTATTTCAGCAGAGGGTTTCAGTTATGCTACCAAGAGTGAGACATCTCTGACAGCCTACAACCATGGTTCTCCATGGGGTCCCAGACCAGCAGCATCTGCTCCCAAGGGAGCTTGTTTAAAATGCACATTCTCAGGCCCCTTCCTAGACCTGCAGAACCAGAAACTACACTGCAGGCTTTGACAAGACTTCAGATGTCTGCTGCTGGTGAAAATGTGAGAATGCCTGACCTATGACATCATTTATTTATTCAGGGAATAAACTTACAAAAGGAATATCTGCTGGCACATGCTAGGCTCTAGGAATACAATACAAGGAAGTCCTGTGCTCAAAAACTTACGACCTAGCTGTGGTAGTGTGCGCTGGTCATTGCTACTTAGCCTAGTTCAATTCCTAGCCCACCCTAAAACCTGGAAATGGCTCAATCCTTCTCTACCTGTGGTCCTAACTACTCCAGAAGCTGAAAAAAAAAGAGGTGCAGAACACAGCAAGACCCTGTCCAAAAACACTACACACACACACACACACACACACACACACACGCATGCACGTCTGCTCCCAAGGGAGCTTGTTTAAAATGCACATTCTCAGGCCCCTTCCTAGACCTGCAGAACCAGAAACTACACTGCAGGCTTTGACAAGACTTCAGATGTCTGCTGCTGGTGAAAATGTGAGAATGCCTGACCTATGACATCATTTATTTATTCAGGGAATAAACTTACAAAAGGAATATCTGCTGGCACATGCTAGGCTCTAGGAATACAATACAAGGAAGTCCTGTGCTCAAAAACTTACGACCTAGCTGTGGTAGTGTGCGCTGGTCATTGCTACTTAGCCTAGTTCAATTCCTAGCCCACCCTAAAACCTGGAAATGGCTCAATCCTTCTCTACCTGTGGTCCTAACTACTCCAGAAGCTGAAAAAAAAAGAGGTGCAGAACACAGCAAGACCCTGTCCAAAAACACTACACACACACACACACACACACACACACACACGCATGCACGCACACACACACACACACACGCACGCACACACACACACACACACAAACTTAGTTGGGTGGATGGAGCAGGTGTAGAAGGAAGGGTAACACACTGCGTAAAAGGTAGGTTCTCCTTTGCCCCTCTAACTTGGTAAGCTCACACTCCTTTATGGCGCACCCAGTGAAAGCAGGAAGAGAACAGGGCCAATAGAGGCCACTCCCAAACAGAGACAGCAAAACAATTCAGTCCCCTCCACTTTGTCACTTTATTTATATCCATTTCCTTCCCCCTTCAGATTTCTTGCAGATTGTTAATTACAGCTTGAAATCTCATGCAACATCTCCCTTAGTAACATTCTTTAAATGAGCAGTTTATCTAACTTGCACATAAAGTTCTCAGAGCTGTTTCTGAAAATTGTACTGAGGCTTTCTCAAAGACCTGTTTGTAGTTGTCTAACCTTGAGTGCTGGGAAAAAGAAAGGTAAGGCAAGTTTTTGGCCCAAAGGTGGAAATCTTTCTCTGCAGAAGGATTTTCTACTTCTTAGAAACTGAAGCCCTCCTGATTTTCACCATGTGGATAGTGAGTGTATTCATGAATCAAAACATTGCTGGTCATCAAGCCCTGGCTGAGATCACCTGATTTATTAAGTTTATCTCCTAAGTAAGATAAAGTAGTCAGGCCAACATGCTTGGACTTCCTCCTATCATGAGAGTTTTAAGAGAAAACACTGATGAGTGATCAGGGCACAACCTCTAGTATGAGGGCTTGGGGGTGGGAAGCTGGTCCTTCTCGAGTGCAGGAGTTGAAGGGGTTGGAGGCAGACCCATAATCAGTCTGAACCCAAGCTCACAGAGGGGCCACTGAGCTGGTCATCTTCCACCTCATCAAAATGTCACTCTGAGACCCACTCTCTTCCTCCAGCACCTCACAGGAAGATGACTCAGGTGGCTGCAACATCTCGGGCCACAGCCCTTCACAGTACACCTCTGTAAGTCACATGCAGACACTGGACCTTGAGGTCTTCTACTTTGAGATCAGGAATGGGTGAGTAAGAGAGGCTTGTGAGAACCAGTAGGTGATGTAGTGGTTAAGGCGCTGGACTTCCACATGGCCGACTGCAGTTCGAGTCCCGGACTCAGCAGCTGAAATATGTGCACATGCATGCATGCCTAAAATCCCAAGAGGAAAATGGAGGAAAAGGGATTGTGTGGCCATCCTCCCTAGGGAGGTGATTTCTTGCTTGCTTTCTGTCTCTGTATCTCTCTGTTCCTCCAGTGAGCACATGAGTCCCATAGCAAAAATAACAAATACATAAATAAAATAAAAGGGGGCGGGAGGGTCTGTGTCATTTCTATCTTTCCCTTTTGTCCATGTCCTCATTAATTTTTCTTTCTCTACGCCGCAATCCCTTCTCCTCCATTCTCCTCTCGGGATCTTGGGCACGCACGCACACGCGCCCGGCGTGAGTTTTAAGCCACCGGGTCCGGGACGCGAACCGCGGTCGACTACGTGGGAGTCCAGCGACATAGCCATTACGCTAACTGCTGGTTCCCAAATTTTCTTTCTCTTTTTCAAGTGTCAGCATTTAAATATTTACTTCAAAACAAGGGAAGCACTGGCATTTGGGGCACAATAACTCTTCACTGAGGCTATCCGGCATCCCCGGCCCTGCCCACTAAATGCTGGTAGAGCCCCAGGGTGCCAAGAGCCTCAGGCAGCAGATCCCTCCTTGGTTGGGTACCACCAAGGCCCATGGCAATGGGACTTGAAATCAGCTAAAAATAGCAGATGGACCCACAGAATTCATTTTGTACCGTCTGAACATCTATGTATGTTTTCATTATAATTTCTAGACAAATGAGTAGCATCTTGAAGAGAGAGCTCATAAGATAGTCCTGTCCTGGGCCAGCAAGTGGAATGGAGGTGAAGGCACTGGATCCCACATGGCCACCTGCACCGGTACAGTCCCAGACTTAGTGGCACCCAGGAGTATGAGCCTGCATGCCCCAAATCCTGAGAGAGATTGCAGCATGGGGTGATTTTTCACTCTTTCAATCTCTTTTTGTCCTCCTCCAGCAAGTACCCAAGCCCTATGACAAACTATAAAAAAAAAAAAGATACACCTGTCCCATTCTAAGACTCAGAATCTGAAACTAAACATACACACTCTTACCTTGCTGGAGACTCCTTAATAAACAAGTAATGGGCTTTCCCACATGACTTCAGGGGAAGTCACGAGTTGAGGGCCCACCTGAACAGTATGAGTAGTGGACAAGTCTTAAACCTCATGGTTCCACCCAGGCTGCCCATCTCTGGGTTCCAATCAGAGCTATAATGAAGTTAAAATCTGGGGAGAGTTGACCGGATCATGGAGTTATTAAAATGTTCACCTTCCACTTCATTGTGTGTCCTCTAAATAGTGCCTCATCACTTAGCCAGAAGCTTCTTAAATTTTAAAACTCTCCTCCTGGGCCAATCAGCATACATTAATATAAGGGAAACTAAAAGACCACTAACCCCACTACTGTAATTCAGAATTTAAAAGTGGGAATGATAGTACATGTGGGAAAACTGAACTGCTGCCTAAATGCTGTGTAATTTGAGAGTCTCCCAAGGCTTGTTATTAAAAAATGCATCCTCCACTGACCAGCACTGCTGGCCTGAACAACTTCAGAACAAGAATTATCCCTCAATCACAGTTAAAATGTAAATAGAATACCTGGGAGGAGAATCATATCAATTCACGAAAATATTGACTCACTTTCACTCACCTTCTCATTAGCATCAGCTCATTTACGGGATTTTTTTTAAGATAGGCCTCAGGAAAGGTAAATTTTAATGGTCAATGAAAAGGGAAACAAGTAGTCTGAGAGGACTAGTTGAGTCATGTCCCCAACCAGGAGGCCAGTGAGGGAACAGGGCCAAAAGGAAAAGCACAACTTCTTATCTTGTCCAGGGAGGGCCCACAAATGGAGCCAGTGAAGACTAGGACTCTTTAGCCTGAGGAAGAGAGGTGGGGGTTAGCTGAATCCTGGGGTCAAGAATAGTGAAGAGGGTCCTGGAAACCAAAGGGATGACCAGATGAGTTCCACGTGGACCAAGGCCAGAGCAGAAGGAGGCCCAAGGTCTAAAGGAGACTGGAATGTTCATACCCTACCACACCGAAGGGTTGAGCAATCCTGGAAGAAGCTGCCAGAAAGGCAGTCTGATCTTATTTAGTGATGGGGCAGGGGATGGGTAGGAAATGTGCTTAGTCCTGCAAAACAGCATTTCTGAATCCCCCTCTTTTCAGTAATATCCTTATAATCATATGAGTGTCAATCTAAGTTTCCTAACTGTACTTTACCTGCCGTTCTCTATGCCTGACTTTCATGTGGTTTATAATACTTCTGAGTGAGGGTAGCACAGAATAAAGGGGTTGTCCAGCCTGTCTCCAGCCTGTGCAGACCCAGGACCACCGAGGAAAGAAGTGACAGTACCCAAAGCAGTGCAGGCTCTTCTAGTTGCAATGCCTTTTTATGTGTGTATGTGTGAGATGGGGGGATTTTTTTCCCCCTAAAGCAATTTTTAGCATACTCTTTCCTACTCAACTCTGCTTCAGATGTTTGAACAGTTCCCTTGTGTCTAAAGCCTGAATTCCTCTTACTCTGTTGCCACCTCCTCCTCCCATTTGTCTCCTCTCATGTCACCACATACCCAAACTCACCCCTTCACTGACCCCTATGGGACCCAGTTGGGTCTCAGGACTATTAAGATATTAAACATCCAAGACCAGCAGATGGCGTAATGGTTATGTTGCTGGACTCCCACATAGTCTACCACAACTCAAGTCCCGAACCCGGTGACTTGAAACTCATGCCAGGCGCATGTGTGTGTGTGCCCAAAATCCTGAGAGGAGAATGGAGGAGAAGGGACTGCGGCATGGCCATCCCCCCTGGGGGTGGTGGTATTTCATGCTTTCTGTCTCTCTGTCTCTCCATGTCTTTCTGGCAAGTTCATGTACCCTACAGCAAAAATCTCTCTTAAAAATGTAAGATATTAAATATCTATATGATTATATACAAAAGTCCTGCCAGCAATTTCATTCTTTAAGCTCACCTACTTTGTACTGGGCTCCATGCTAGGCACTGGGAAACAAGAACAAATGCAAATTTCCTGTGATAAAAAAATATAATAAGAATGGGGTAGACGATGACGCACTAGTAAAACACAGTGCTCGACAAGGCAGACCCACATAGGAAGGTTGCCAGTTCAAGTCCGGAAACCACACTGAGTACAATATGCACACTGAGTACAATACGCACACATCTCTCTTACTTGTAGAAGAAATAAATGAACAAACTTTTTTTAAAAAAATAAGAATAAAGAGGAACTAGCAGGTGGTGTGGTGGTTAAGGTACTGGACTCTCACATGGCCAATTGCACAGTTCAAGTCCCAGACCCGGCGGCATGAAAATCACGCCAGGCACATGTGTGTGCATGCCCAAAATCACAAGAGGAGAATGGAAAAGAAGGAATTGTGGCATGGCCACCCCCCTATACAAGGAATGATTTCTCTTCTCACTTTCCCTCCCTTTGTCTCTTTTCTCTCTCTCTGGCAAGCATATGCACCCTGGAAAAAAATAATAATAATAAAGAAAGGAAATTATAAGATCTAAGAAAGTCTACATTAGCAGTTGTGTACTTGAGACCATTTCCCCAGACACTTGGAGATTCTGCTCATTGTCTTCTGCCATCAGAGTCCCTGAGTGGACAATTCTGAGAAATCCTATAAGGCTTCAAGAGCACACACCAATTTCTTTGCCTCTGCTCAGGCTCTGCCTGGAAAGCCCCTTCCTTCCCTCACATCTAAGTGTCAGCCTTCTTTCAGACCCAACTCCATCCCACTGTCCTACAGGAAGCTTCGGTCCTTTCAGTCCTTAATGGAATCACCTTCTCTATACTCTTGTAACTATTTTTCTTTCTATTTAACTAACTCTGCAAAGGTTACCTTATATTTTTATTCATCTATTTACATGTGAGCCTAAAAAGAGAGACTACATCTTACATCTACACCTTACACACCGTCAGTCAGTTTGGCGGGTAACACATTCCAACATAGTTATACCAAAATCAAAAGCATGCACAAGTTCAAAGAACAGATTTACTCGTTAGGTTTTAAAACCCATAAATATGGATTTTTAAATATTAGTATTAAAACAATAACACCAATCCTCTTACATAAAATAGTTACTAGCATAATCTTAGTATTTCAGTCATGAGGCTTAATTTTATTCTTCAAAACGGAACTTATCAGCTGGCTAAAATCCAGTGAGCAGTTAATTGAGGCTAAAGATTCCCCACGTTCAGATGAATTGCTCCTGTCTGCGTTGTCACAATTGTATTAAGCTAGTGACCTGTATTTCCTATTGTCGGAATCAGCACTTTGATTTTTCTCTCTTTATTTGGAGCAAAGTGCCACAAAATGCTTAAACAATGAAACTCATGCCAGGCGCATGTGTGTGTGTGTGCCCAAACTCCTGAGAGGAGAATGGAAGAGAAGGGACTGCGGCATGGCCATCCCCCCTGGGGGTGGTGGTATTTCATGCTTTCTGTCTCTCTGTCTCTCCATGTCTTTCTGGCAAGTTCATGTACCCTACAGCAAAAATCTCTCTTAAAAATGTAAGATATTAAATATCTATATGATTATATACAAAAGTCCTGCCAGCAATTTCATTCTTTAAGCTCACCTACTTTGTACTGGGCTCCATGCTAGGCACTGGGAAACAAGAACAAATGCAAATTTCCTGTGATAAAAAAATATAATAAGAATGGGGTAGACGATGACGCACTAGTAAAACACAGTGCTCGACAAGGCAGACCCACATAGGAAGGTTGCCAGTTCAAGTCCGGAAACCACACTGAGTACAATATGCACACTGAGTACAATACGCACACATCTCTCTTACTTGTAGAAGAAATAAATGAACAAATTTAAAAAAAAAAAATAAGAATAAAGAGGAACTAGCAGGTGGTGTGGTGGTTAAGGTACTGGACTCTCACATGGCCAATTGCACAGTTCAAGTCCCAGACCCGGCGGCATGAAAATCACGCCAGGCACATGTGTGTGCATGCCCAAAATCACAAGAGGAGAATGGAAAAGAAGGAATTGTGGCATGGCCACCCCCCTATACAAGGAATGATTTCTCTTCTCACTTTCCCTCCCTTTGTCTCTTTTCTCTCTCTCTGGCAAGCATATGCACCCTGGAAAAAAATAATAATAATAAAGAAAGGAAATTATAAGATCTAAGAAAGTCTACATTAGCAGTTGTGTACTTGAGACCATTTCCCCAGACACTTGGAGATTCTGCTCATTGTCTTCTGCCATCAGAGTCCCTGAGTGGACAATTCTGAGAAATCCTATAAGGCTTCAAGAGCACACACCAATTTCTTTGCCTCTGCTCAGGCTCTGCCTGGAAAGCCCCTTCCTTCCCTCACATCTAAGTGTCAGCCTTCTTTCAGACCCAACTCCATCCCACTGTCCTACAGGAAGCTTCGGTCCTTTCAGTCCTTAATGGAATCACCTTCTCTATACTCTTGTAACTATTTTTCTTTCTATTTAACTAACTCTGCAAAGGTTACCTTATATTTTTATTCATCTATTTACATGTGAGCCTAAAAAGAGAGACTACATCTTACATCTACACCTTACACACCGTCAGTCAGTTTGGCGGGTAACACATTCCAACATAGTTATACCAAAATCAAAAGCATGCACAAGTTCAAAGAACAGATTTACTCGTTAGGTTTTAAAACCCATAAATATGGATTTTTAAATATTAGTATTAAAACAATAACACCAATCCTCTTACATAAAATAGTTACTAGCATAATCTTAGTATTTCAGTCATGAGGCTTAATTTTATTCTTCAAAACGGAACTTATCAGCTGGCTAAAATCCAGTGAGCAGTTAATTGAAGCTAAAGATTCCCCACGTTCAGATGAATTGCTCCTGTCTGTGTTTCACAATTGTATTAAGCTAGTGACCTGTATTTCCTATTGTCGGAATCAGCACTTTGATTTTTCTCTCTTTATTTGGAGCAAACTGCCACAAAATGCTTAAACAATAACATACATGCTGCTACACAGACAGAGATAACGACCACGCTGAAGTCGAATGGAACGTTCAGAATGCCTGAATTTGGGGAGCAAAAGGGGATGGAGGTTGATGTATAAGGTACAGAAATTCCAATTTGTCAAGGGTGGCTTGAACTGCTTTGTTCACCCTCAGCACTCTGCAGGGAGAAGGGTTTTAATCGTCAGTGAAGAGATTGACCTCTGCAGAATATTCCACCCTCCAGATCCACAGTGCATGGCAAACCAAGCCTTACAGAACAGAGAGCAGGAGACCTTAAGAGTAAGAAAACGATTTTCCTTACCTGCGGTGCCTCTGTATTTCCCCACTGTTAGCTTATACCGCTCCTTGCTGGAGGCCACTTGGAATAAATCATATATGGCATAGGCAGATTCGTTGGCAGTCTGTAAGTCCACTCTTATTTCATATCGGGTTGGTGTGCCAGTGGTGAGATTGTGTAGCTTGTCAAGTCCTAAAAATAAGGAATAGAATTCTAATAACCAATCACCCAATGTATGTGAGCACCTACCATTTGCATCTGAGACTTTCTGGACCCCAAATCATGTCAGCCTTTTGGATTTCTGCTCACTAGGGGCTGTCTCAATACTTTGTCTTTGGGTCGGTAATTTTCTTATTATATAATTTCTTTGGGGGAGGTAGGGACTTATTTTCTTATCATATAATTTCTTTGGCATAGTCATGCTCATGAGCGTGGAAATCATGTCTTATGAGAAGAGGTATGATGGGGTGGAATAACCGTAGAAGGAATCTGCCGCCATTGGTTCCATGTCACCAAACAGAAGCAATTCTGTTTATCATCCACTTATCAACTACACGTTCCCAGCTCTCTGAAGAGATGCTGCACCAAGCAAACCATAAACATCATCTACTCTATTAGACACTGAGTGTCCAGATTATGATTTTTTAATTCTTCATTTCCCAAATGGTACTTTTGAGTTGTTTCACTCTCTGTGAACATCTGCTCCAGGAGACAGCAGAAGGAAAAGGGGGAAAAACTATGCCCTACTGCCTGGCATAACTAGCAGAATTTCGGAACTTCAGAATTAGAATGGCCTCCCAAATAGCCCAGAATGCCAATCGATCAACTATTTTTCTACCTCTGTGGTTTTTAAGAAATTCAGGTTCCAGGGAGAATCTGTAAAGCACAGAAAGGGATGGCATAAGAACCCCGACAGGTCTACCTTTTCACAAGTCCAGAGCACATGAGGGCCTTTCCATGAACATGACCCCACCAACACCCTGTTTAGCAGGTTCCTGTGAGCATCCCCGTTTAGGACCTTTCCCTGAATGTGGTGAGCGCCCTTATGCTTCCTGACCAGCTTGGCAAGAGGGACATTACCCCTTCACAATCCTGCCCATCCTGGGCTTCCAAAGGTCATACCAAGCCAGAACTCCTTCATGGGATCCCCAAACCCTTCCACATAGCTCCGCCAACGCTTGAAGAAATCCAGCTGCCCAGTGTTCCGCCTCTGGAAGACCTGAGAAGGGAGATGGACATTTCACTTGGACACAGACCACACATCATGGAGTGGAATGGGAACAATATTTGTATTTTGCAAGGTGTGCTGGGAAACAAGAGGGGACTGTAAGCCTGTACACACACTGACTTCTCCAGCTAGCACATCTTTCTTTCTTTTTCATAAAGGATTATTTATATAGCAGCAGATTCACTATATTGGTGAGCATTTTTTGTGTGTACTGTGGTATGCTAGATACTGAAATGTGTAGAACAAAACATAGAAGGTTTCTGCTCCCAAGAGAGTTCAGTTCTAGAGCAAAGAAAAATTTGGGGAACTGATGATATAGTTGCCAGTGATGGGCTGCGTAGGGTAGGACATTCCATACCTCCACTGGCTCTGACCTAACCTTCAACATCAACTCAACTCAACTGGGCATGTTGTATTTACATAGTGTCTTTTTTCTCCCTTAAATAGTTTGAAACTAGAACATTTTATAAGTTTATTTGTTAATTTCTTCCATGATTCCAAGAGCAAGAGTGAGAGAGAGAGCTTCTGCCTCCAGGAGAGTGTCAATACTGTGCTCCACCTCTACGGCTAGCCCTAAATCATGGGTAAGCATATACTTGGAGTACTCAGGAAGGACTCTAGACTTGAATTGGGAACCTTCATATGTGGATTGCCTTGCAGAGCATCATGTTTTATTGCCATGCCACCATCTGGCTCCTAACGAACTAATTTTTAATTCACATGATTTCTACCCTAGCAACTATTTAACAATGTGGAGAAGAGGGGAAAAAAAAGTTTATCCAACAAATAGCATCTGCTATGTTATAGGTACTATGCAAAATGATGTGCAAAATGAATAAGCCAGGAATGGTCCCTGACCTCATGGATCTGATGGTCCAGAAATAAAATAGCCATGAATTAAATAATCAAGCAAACAAACATACAGTCACGTTTGTGGAAGAAAGATGTGATAGGCCTTACGGAGCATGAAACGGGGGAACCTGACCATAGAACGAGGAAAATTCTCCCAGGAAGTGGCTAAAACCAGTAAGGTAATAAGAAAAACTCAGCCAAGGGGACCAAAAGCCAGGATGTCAGAGCTTCCAGGGAATAATTATAAAGGACTTGGAAAGAAGGCTAAAAAGATAGGCAGGGGTCAGTCCTAGTGGGGCTCTAACAAATATTGTTGAAGATGTGGGCCCATTGTAAGAACAATGGAATTATTGCAAGATTTTAAGCAGGAAATGAAATGTTCTTATTTACATTAGATCAGATCTCTCTTTACATAGTATAAAGAATTGTCTGAAGGCCAATGGGCGGCATGGTGGCTAAGGCACTGGACTCCCACATGGCTTACTGTGGTTCGAGTCCTGGACCTAGTGACTTGCTTTCTCATTTTCCATCTCTCTCTCCCTCTTTCTGTCTTTCTCTGGGCAAATTAAGAATAATAATAATTAACTAAATGTTAAGAAAAAGAATGGCCTGGTTAGGAACAAAAGCCTACAAGAGATAACCAGTTGGAGGAACACTATAAAGTTCAGGTGAGAGAGGACAGTACTTGGGCTAGGAGCTGCCCTGAAGATAGACATAAGTGGATAAAACAAAAAAACTGACAGACATGGTGACAGATAGAATGTGGAGCAGAAAGTAGAGGAGATCAAGAATGATCTTTAGTTTGGGCTTGCAGAACTGGATGGCTATTTACTCAGCTACTCACTGAGATGAGGAATTTGAGGGAGGACAGGTTTTATAATTTCATGATGAGCTTATTTAGGGGACATGGTAAATATGAGTTGTTTCTGAGGTATCCTAGTGAATGAAGATGGCACATAGCAGTTGAATGTAAGGGCTATAATTCTAAAGAGAAGTCAAGATTTATTGAAGTAGTAGTGTGCTCAAGACAATGCTAGGAGTTCACCAAGTCCCATTTCATTTTGGTCTTCTTAGGAACCCAGAAAGCCTTCTTTTTCCAGCTTCCCTTATAGTTAAGTTAGAACTGTGTGACTATTTCTAGCCAAAAGACTTTAAGTAGAAACACAGGAAAGTGGGTAGGGCTCTCTTTGGTCTCTTCCATTGCCATGTGCCATGATGTTGGTGAGGGTCATATGTTGAAATGGCAAAGCCACAGATGGAAACAGCCTGAACCCCTAAGTTACCACCCAAAAGCAGTTGTCAAATCTACAGAAGACATTTCACATATGAGAAAAATATGTGTTAAGTCATTAGAGCTTACAGTTGGTGTGTTACTGCAGCACAGTCATTCTATCCTAGCTAATTCAGGGCTACTGAGACAGAACAGTAAAATGAAATCACGGGAAAGGATGAGACCACCTAGAAAATAAGTAGAAACTAAAAAGAAAAAATGGTCCACAGTCAAGTCTTGAGGATCGCCACTATATAATGGCCACACTGAGAACAAGGAGTTCATTGAGGAGAGAGACAGAGCAACTATAGATGTAGAAGGAAACATGGAAAAATATGGAATCACAAAACCCACAAGGAGAAAGGTGTGGTCAATAGTGTCAAATTATTGAGGTGTCAAGAAAATTAAACTAAAACTGTCACTAGAATTTAGTGACACAGAAATCAATGGTGCCTTAACAGGGTCCATGTGAGAGAAAAGGACAGAAGTCAAACTGGGCTGATGTGTGAGTGAGAAGGGAGAAAACAGAGATGGAATATTTCACAAGGGTGTGCATGGCTTTCTTTTCAGAAATCCCTCTATTTGGAGAAGGGAGGCAATTCCAGTTAGAGTAAATTGGATTACTTTATAAAAAGTAAACTTGAAAAGTGCCTAGAAGCTAAACACACTTGTGTCCACTTAGGTCTATTATTAATTATATGAATTGATCATGACCTTGAAATCCAAGCTAAATGACCTTCTAGTTAATCTCAGAAATGGTTCCCACTAACCAAAGGCTGCAACTGCATCTTTCTCTCTACGTATTTTCCTCTGGGTTCATTCAAATGCAGAAGCCCCAACACAAAATCTAATCTCCCTCTTTCTACCAGACTTCACAGCATGTGCCTTGAAGTAAAAACCACATTATCTTGAATTTGTTAAGGTAAACCTCCTCGTCACTGTGCATTCTTTATATTTTTCTCTGGGAAGTGACAAGGAGTGGGGAAAGAACAGGCAGCCCTGCAACAAAGCTGAACGCTCCACACGGGAGCTCACATTTAACTCTTTCGCTGGTCTTGCAGGTGCTAAACTGAGGCACCAGTGAATAGGGAAAGTTCCAGCCTCCATCAGACTATAGCCACTTACTGGCAGGGACCTGGCAGTCAGTCATTTCTATTTCTGAGTCTCAGTCAACTTATCGTAACACAGGGATAGGTGCAGGAAAGAAGAGCCCAACTCCCAGAGTTGCTGAGAGGACTAAATGAGGTAGTACTGTACAAAAGCTTATAAATGGAAAAGAGCTGCTGAACAGAATCTAGCAATGATCACAGCAAACAATCACATACTGCGCTAACTTTGTGGTTCTCTGTCCACTTTTCTCAGGTGTCCATCTGTTTTTTGTTTCTATAGGATGTGTGAGCTCACCAGAGAGAGACAGAGAAAGAGGAACAGAAAGGAAAAGTGAGAAAGCACTCCCCTGCAGGGATAGTGACACAGAAATCAATGGTGCCTTAACAGGGTCCATGTGAGAGAAAAGGACAGAAGTCAAACTGGGCTGATGTGTGAGTGAGAAGGGAGAAAACAGAGATGGAATATTTCACAAGGGTGTGCATGGCTTTCTTTTCAGAAATCCCTCTATTTGGAGAAGGGAGGCAATTCCAGTTAGAGTAAATTGGATTACTTTATAAAAAGTAAACTTGAAAAGTGCCTAGAAGCTAAACACACTTGTGTCCACTTAGGTCTATTATTAATTATATGAATTGATCATGACCTTGAAATCCAAGCTAAATGACCTTCTAGTTAATCTCAGAAATGGTTCCCACTAACCAAAGGCTGCAACTGCATCTTTCTCTCTACGTATTTTCCTCTGGGTTCATTCAAATGCAGAAGCCCCAACACAAAATCTAATCTCCCTCTTTCTACCAGACTTCACAGCATGTGCCTTGAAGTAAAAACCACATTATCTTGAATTTGTTAAGGTAAACCTCCTCGTCACTGTGCATTCTTTATATTTTTCTCTGGGAAGTGACAAGGAGTGGGGAAAGAACAGGCAGCCCTGCAACAAAGCTGAACGCTCCACACGGGAGCTCACATTTAACTCTTTCGCTGGTCTTGCAGGTGCTAAACTGAGGCACCAGTGAATAGGGAAAGTTCCAGCCTCCATCAGACTATAGCCACTTACTGGCAGGGACCTGGCAGTCAGTCATTTCTATTTCTGAGTCTCAGTCAACTTATCGTAACACAGGGATAGGTGCAGGAAAGAAGAGCCCAACTCCCAGAGTTGCTGAGAGGACTAAATGAGGTAGTACTGTACAAAAGCTTATAAATGGAAAAGAGCTGCTGAACAGAATCTAGCAATGATCACAGCAAACAATCACATACTGCGCTAACTTTGTGGTTCTCTGTCCACTTTTCTCAGGTGTCCATCTGTTTTTTGTTTCTATAGGATGTGTGAGCTCACCAGAGAGAGACAGAGAAAGAGGAACAGAAAGGAAAAGTGAGAAAGCACTCCCCTGCAGGGATGGCCACACTGCAATCCCTTCTCTCTGATGATTTTGAGCACGCAAACACATGCACCTAGCATGTTTTGCAAGCCACAAGGTCTAGGGCTCAAATCTAAAAGTCACCATGTGGGATCCAGCCACTTTGACCACTACGCCACCTGCTGGCTCCTCTGGCATCATTCCTTTCTTGACTTCCTTCATTTTTCTTCATTCATTTATTCAATTAACAATCAATTACTGAGCATGTGTTATGTTTAGGCTCCAGGGGAAGCACGTGTATGCCATTTTACAGATATGGAAGTCCAAAGAAACAAGAAGCCAGTGTCACAGAAAATCATTTAGTGGCTGGTGTAAAGATAAGGCATATATCTCTTCACCTTGGAGTCAGAAAATTTTAAAACATCAGCTCCATTATTTCCCAGGTAATATTTCCTGACATTCAGAGAGTTTGTCCATTTCCTAGAGAGGTGCCTGTTTCAATTCCTGTCCTGGGGCTCATCTTGCACTATGGATAGTGGAGTCCTGGGGTGGATGTGGCCTCAGTATTTACTTCTATGTCCATCATGTGGGTTCACCTTCCTACCACAAGTTCAGGCTCAAGTCCAACCCTACCCTCTCAGGGCAGAGGCATTTCGAAGGCGTTAGGTCTCCATCTTTAATCATTGACACGAACGGGTCTGATCCAAGCCAGGAACTGCGCACGTGCCCTGGAGACAAGACTCCACTGGGAATCAGAGAAGTTTGGATTCACCTGGACTCACGGAGCAAGGGAACCCCCAAAGCAAATAGCCTACACTGTCTCATGGCGGGGGATTGGTGAGCCGGTGGGAGTTTAGTGTAAACAGGTCAGGGTCCCCAAGGAAGGCTCGATGCCCCTTTGCGGAAAGCAGTGCCCTGTGGGCAGGATCAGCGCCCCTCGGAGAGGTGAACAGCATGGGGAGACAGGTTCGGTGCCCCAATGGGCAGAGTCAGAGCGGCTTCCCAGCTGGGTTTGTTTTGGGTTTTTTGTTCTCTGGTGTTTGGTTCAGCGTGGTCAGGGAACCTTTGAAACTTACTCTGGCGTTTAGACCCAGCTCTACACTTACTAGCTGTGCTCTTGGGTGAGTTAACCTTGATAAGCCTCACTTTTCTAGTCTATTAGAGCAAGATGTTAATAACCCTCCCATCATGGGCTGAAACCAAGGCTTCAGCAAGATCATTGACCATAGTAAATCACAAAGTATGAGGGCCAGAGTCTGGCCCATGTAGGTATAATAAGATATTATTATATCACAATAAATGTTCATTTGTGTCTTATTATACCAGATTCCGGATGAACTGGCACTCGAGGATCCTTTACACGTCTTGATCAGGCAGATTGAATTGACCCACTCAGAATTGAGTCTATTCTCATTCTATGATATGAAACACCTATAATGAACTATCTGGGAATCACAAAAGCCCCTTAAACAATCTCAAGGGGATAAAACATAATCTAATTATGTCCAGTTCTGTACTATGAAGTTGTCATTGCACTTTAGAACTTATTCAACGTACTAAAAAACTCAATCAGGACGAGAAAAGTAAAAACTGAATTGAAATGCCTATGGAAAGAGCTTCTGATGCAGTCCTTAAGATCTTCAAGATAGAAAACAAAGATGGAAATATTTGAGACATGTAAATGTTCCCTGATGTTCTTTCTAGCCTCCCACCAGAGGCCTTTCTTCCCACCAGGGAGAGTTCTTCTCACCTGTGCCTGTTTATCGCATTGGGTTTCTGCTGCCTAGAATAGAGAAGAATTTCCTTAAAAGGATTCTAAAAGCTCAATAAGAGGACCAATGCTCTATAGGTCATTCCTCAGTGGCAGAAGACTCCTGAGTCCAAAAAACATGGAAATCACCAGCAAAATATCTGCAAGAGAAGTCTGCAGCACTCTATGTGTTTTCTGGAGCACAGTGGCCTTGAGGAGAGCCCTATGGCATGTCAGTGCATGCATTACCTAGGTCAGAAAACAAGACTTGGGGAGCAAGCAAGTGGTGTGGTGGTTACAGGTGCTGGATTCCCACATGGCCAACCACGGTTCAAGTCCTGGAACTGGTAGATTGCTTTCTCGCTTTCCCTTTCTCTCTCTCGCTGGTCAAATTAAAAGTAATAATAATAAATGAAATTAAATAAATAGTAAAAAACAAGACTTGGGTGGGGCAGGGCTGATGTCAATAAGAAGGCAGAGTGGTTTAATTATTTCTGCGCTTAGACAAGGATTCTTTATATGGGCAGAAGGCAGAAGGCAAGCTCCTCCAGGCAGAGATTGCCATCTGTTTTGTTCACTTTGGGCTCTTGAGCATATAAAACAGTGTCTGATACAGAGGAGGCACTCAATCGGTACTTGTGCGATAAGCCAGGGGTATCTCCAGGCCGACAGACAGACAGATCTCTTTCTAAAGGCTGCCCTACACAAATGTCTCCTTCCCTATGTGAGTTTGGCTTTCAAGACAGCCACACTAGACAATCCAAACATCCTGCCAACAGTCAATTACGTGCACAAAGGCAGGAAATGGCTTCAGAACTGAAGAGACAGAATGTTGAAGTTACAATGGTGCAGTTGAAAAGCAGCAGGTACCACCCTCTGGGCCTGGTCAGGTGGAAGACCTCCTGTGTTACATTCTGTTTCGTTATTTTTATAAATCAATCAGAAATTTCCCTCCATCCAATCCAATTACTGCCTTTCAGTCGTCAGATGCTGCTGTGCAGATAATAAGTTTTCTTCATTGCTGCTCATCAGATGGTATCATTTCATCCATGGCTGCTCAAGTGTCTTTGGTTTCCCAGGCCCCTGAGCGAATGTGTAAATGAGCAGTGTGGGCACTATGAGATCAGGCTTTCTCTCTCCCACAGTGCATTGTGGCTACACAGTAGGCTAAGACTGCATGCCGATTTGGGACAGGGAGCTCCCTCTGTCAGTTCAGACACAGGAAAATGAGAGCGGGAGGAGATGGAAGGAGATGCAAGTTTCAAAGGCAGCTCATCATAGAAATGGATCATGCTGATGCAATCAAAGAAGGTGCATGTGCTTTAAGCAGACATTGACCCAAAAGGATAAAACCTCACAGAAGGATGATTAGAACGTTGTCCAGATTTCCATTTCTGGGGCTTTAGTTTTTCAAATCAAAAGTCTGAAAGGCCTATTTAGGTACTGTGCACCCAGAGTGAAGAAGCCTGAATTAGGAGAAATGAGCCCCTAACCAAGTGTGTGTTTCTTTCTTGGTTGCCCAGAGATTGGGAAGACCAATGAGTTATGAGGCTGAAGTCCTGAAATTTGGTCCCAGCTTTATCCGTAACTTGTGTGACTTAGCCAAGGCACTCTCTCTGTGGACTTCACTTCCCTACCTGCAAAACAAGAATAATAATGCTCTCTCACTTACTCTAAAGCTGCTGTGTGAGAGCCAGGGTTATGAAGGTGCTCTAAAGAGAGTGAAATACAGGTAAGAGCTACACACAGGGCATTATCAGATGATGATAGATCTACAGCCTCCACAGTCATCAGCCTTAGTTTAGCTAAGCCTGTTCTATGGTAGGCTGTAAGCACTAGGCTCTATCCTTAAAGTGGTTTGGCATCTCTCTGAAAACAGCTGCAGCCACAACAGCTCCTATCTCCCATGGACCCAGAAGAAACAGAGACCTCCCAGCACTCCTCTGGAGCAGTTGTGACCAACCAGGTCTCTGAGCTAAGGAACAAGGCACTGCATAGAACTTCCCTGGGCTCTGCATGACTCACAATCCAGCCGCCTCCATCCGTGTCCATATCGCAGTACACCTGCAGGGGATGGCTGCTGTCACCGTGCAGGTAGATGGTGTAGAGACCGCTGGCAGCATTGCTGTTATGCTGAACCTCACTGCAGTCCGAAGGGTGTGGAAAGCGGACACCAACTGAGAGCCAAGCAAAGGGCAGCACCATCATTAGGAGCAGGGCACGGAAGGAAAAAGGGCTCTGCCTCTTTTTAAAAGCAATTTATTTTATTCAGAAATTATTTCACAATCCCTTATTATTCTGCTTCTTCTAACTCTTCACTCATCTTTCTTTTTTTTTTTATTCACCTACTCTGCTCTCATAGAACACTCCAAATGAACCAGAACAAAGGTCAAGTTCACATCACTTCCTCCCACATCTGAACTCCCCCATGAAATAACACTCCACGTAGCTCCACTTGAGGTGGGTGGATTTCTTTGGAAACCATAACCCATTGCCATTTCCTCATGCCATGAGAAAGCCACAACTTTGTATCCACTGGTTCCTCCAAGCACACCTTTTCTGCTCTGCTAAGCCTGTCCTCTTTGAGAGGTCTTTAAAAGTTCACAGAAAGTACATATTAATGAAAAGAGCATGCGTGAATTTCAAAAATTTTTTGCATTAAAATGGACTTGTACTTGAATGTTACTTTCCCATAAGCTTTTTTTTTGGGGGGGGGAGAGATTTTCACTGTAGGGCGCGTGCGCTCGCCAGACAGACAGAGAGAGACATAGAGACAGAAAGCGAGAAATCACCCCCCAGGGGGGATGGTCACTTAAGCCACCAGGTCCGGGACCCGAACCGCGGTCGACTACGTGGGAGTCCAGCGACATAGCCATTACGCTAACTGCTGGTTCCCCCCATAAGCTTTTTGAAGTCCCCTCAAATTGCACTATCATCCCGAGTGCAGGAGTCCACATTACCTGTGGAGAGAGTGGTAGATACACTCTTGCTCCGGCGATCTCCCTTAAATGCAACCAAGGAGAAAGGGTAGGTGACGCCCTGATCAAGGCCTTCCAACTCAAACTTCTGGTCACCTTGACCAAGTTGCACTTCCTACCAAACAAAGGAGATTACAAACAGCCAGTTACTCAGTTTATCACCCTCTCACTCGCCCAGGTGTCAATGGCATTCCCGGGTATAAATGGTGGGCGCTGTCTAAGGCGTGATGTTTTACTCCATGGCAGCCCAGGACTGCGGTATTTCCCTGCCACCTCTCTGAAGAACTGAGACACAGAGATTCAGCACTGCTGGGAGTAGTAGCTGAGAGTTGGCACCCAACACTGCCCCTTGAAGACTTCACCAGCAGCAGTAACAGACAATGCCATGCTGAGACCCTAACAGAGTGGTGAAACTGTCCATTGGTATCTGTGAGACACCAAAACAGTTGGTATTTCAATAAACCTCCCTCTGCTCCTGTCTCACTCCCTCTATAAGCATAGGGTTAACTTTTCTAGCAGGAAATTGAGCATTAATTGAGATCATGAATAAATTAAAGGACCCTGCTTTTTTCCTTCCTTCCTTCTTCCCTCTTTACCAAGGAGACAAACTAATCATTTTTTATTGTGATAAGTTTTGAAAATTTGCTGGCCTTCAGATGCAGGGGGAGCTATAACCCTTGAAATGAGGGTTAATTGATTCATTTAATAAATATTTATTGAACAACTATCATGTACTAAGCACTATCCTGAACACTTTAGGTACAATGATAATCAAACTAGAAAAATAGTCCCTGCCCTCACAGAGCTTATATCTATCAGAGAAGACCAAAAACAAACTAAATAATGGGGCAGATGTGTGACCAGCAAATCTGTCATGGATGCCAAGAGCAGACACAAAGGTTAGTCTTCACAACGAGATTACAATATTCACAAATGACTGTGATGAGCACTGTCCTTTGCACATAGCAGGTGATCAATAAGGATCAACTGACTGATGAGCAGGTTGCCCTGAGGATGGTGATCAAGCTGATTGGCTCACATTCGTTGCTGCACAGAAAGGCTGTGAAGAGAAAGCATCCTGATAGGAACAGGACCCAGTACCTTAACCGTGCCATCTGGGAATCGGTAGGTCAGAATGTAGCCATCAATCTGAGCAGAGGGGGGTGTCCAAGTCAGTACCCCACCAGTTGGTGTCACAGCAGACGGACGAAGGTTTTTAGGAGGGTCAATTTCTGTATATAAAAGTTCAGTAATCATTATTACTAAGATACAATGAAGGAAGGATAATTTTTGAGACATCAGTTGACATTTTCTCCCTACAGACCTTCCCATTTCTCTCCCTTCTTTCAAGTACATGGCAGGCTCTCTTCCTCATCACCCCAGAGCCTTTCTGGCCTATTGAGGACAAGAGGATTAAGGAAGAGGGCACTGGGTGGGGCCCCAAAGAGGGAGAGTCTGACCCACTTCCCCAGCAGATTCCAAGAGAGGTGGATCAGATTAGCAGGTGTATTCTCAGGGCTCCCAAAGTGATAAGAAAAATGAGAAAGCTGCAGAGCTGAAACAGTCCTCACACAGAAACCAGAGGTGACACAGCCAATGACTGCCTGGAAAGATGACCGAAATGCCAGATGGGCCCCAACACCAGCACTGAAAAACCAGCCACAACTCCATATAGCCCTGAGGAGCAGAGCCCGAAATGTACTAAGGTTCTGACCAACAATGGAAATTAAGTGTGTACACTTCAAAAGTATGTGTAAAATGTGATTAGAGTATGAGTTTACTTTGGTGCAAAAAAAAGTTTTAATTTTGAAATCCAGTTTTTGCAAAATACGCTGTTTTCTAGGTACTTTTTGAAGACTCTGCCTATAAAGTTATGATATAACTTAGTTTCTTATGTCTCTAAATGTGTAGCCTTAGATGCATCTCAAGTACAAAAAAAGTGATGGGAGAGAGTGCTTATAAAAAGGGAGAGAGAAAATAAAAGGAGAAGTGTCCCGCCCCAGGGGAGAGTCAAACAGGTTTCCTGAGGGAAGGAGTGAGAGATGGGAAGAATGATGCAGTGTTACAACAGGGAGACAAAGCAGTGTTACAACTCTTCAGGGTTGTCTCTTTATTGTGGGCAGCATGGAGACGACACAGTGCTACAACTCTTCAGGGTCGTCCCTTTATTGTGGGCAGCATGGAGACGACACAGTGTTACAACTCTTCAGGGTCATCCAGAGACAAGGCAGTGTCACAGCTCTTCAGGGTCTTCCGGAGACATGTGGTGTCACAACTTTTCAGGGTCATCCAGGTTGTCTGGTGATTGTGGGCCAGGGATCGTGGTTATATACATGTTGGTGGGCAGTGACTGATTGAATGAAGGATTGTAAAAGGTGGGTTATGATTGGTTGCCTTTGTGGACCAATCATGAGGTGCCGATATGCAAATCTGAGGGATTCTAAGCTCACCGATTTACTATGGGAAGTGGCCAATCAGAGTATGGTTTTGAAGGTGAGGTTTTGAAGGGGAGCCAATCATGGCCTTTGGAATTGTGTAATTGCTCTCTGAGAAACCGGCAATATTCGCTGGTGTGCAGCCTCCCACAGAGAAGGATGTAGAAAAAGCAGAGACTTTTTTTATGTGCTTCCACCCAAACACTAGAGAGAATGTGTGGAGATGAGAGTGTGTACAGCAGACCAGTAAAACGAAACTCAGCAAAAATACTAGTCAACACTCACAGTAACTGGCCAGACAGCTCTTTTTTTTTTTTAAATCAAAGAGGATATGAATGGAAATTTCCATTTTGAAAAACACATTAACATAGAAGGTGCTCTTAATTTAGAAGTTCCCAAAAATATGTCTTCAAGCTATTTTTTACCCAGTAGCATTTCAGCTGAGAACTGGGTTGCAGTATTTTAATAGAAATCAGACAGCTGTTGTTTTGAATTAGGATGTTTTGACAAATTTTGAGTTTTTGTAATATCAGCTTGGTTTGATTTTTCTAAAGCATAACATCTGGCATGAATTTTATTCTATCCATCACTCAAAAAAACCTGAATTTTCTGCTTTTAAAATCAAAGGAAAACTGTAGCGCTAAATATCCTCAGCTAGCTTTTGCCACCTTTTTACTGCCCACCCACCCCCTGGCTATGAACTGGAGATGCTGTCTTAGTTATTTTCACATTTTTAAGGAGTAGATGGTTGATGATTGCTTTAATGGTGTCTTTACAAATGGGAACAGTGAAACAAAAACAAGATAAAGAAGGAAGAGGACAAAGAAAGGAGCCAGGGAAACAGGGAGAAAGGGGGAGGACAGAGAAGGAGAGGAGGGAGTGAGAGACTGGTTATGAAATGCATCTAGAGAGTGACACTAGATACCAGGGACCCTAGATGGGAAAAAGAATTTGGGGCTTTTTCTCACAGCTTTGTTTAGTTCAATTTTTTTCTCTTTTCTTTTTTTTTTCTTTCTTTTTCTTTTTTTTTTTTTACTATAAGCATATAGTACTTTTTCTGATTAAAAATGCTGGCCTAGTAATGGTGGCACAAAGATAGCACAATATTCTACAATGCTGGAAGCCATATGGAAGATAGGATTCAGTTTTCTGGTCAGCCTGCAGGCCAGTGATCATGGCTGGCTGAGAAAGGCTGCAAGGAGAATCACCAGGGAGAAAGGGGGAGGACAGAGAAGGAGAGGAGGGAGTGAGAGACTGGTTATGAAATGCATCTAGAGAGTGACACTAGATACCAGGGACCCTAGATGGGAAAAAGAATTTGGGGCTTTTTCTCACAGCTTTGTTTAGTTCAATTTTTTTCTCTTTTCTTTTTCTTTTTCTTTCTTTTTCTTTTTTTTTTTTTACTATAAGCATATAGTACTTTTTCTGATTAAAAATGCTGGCCTAGTAATGGTGGCACAAAGATAGCACAATATTCTACAATGCTGGAAGCCATATGGAAGATAGGATTCAGTTTTCTGGTCAGCCTGCAGGCCAGTGATCATGGCTGGCTGAGAAAGGCTGCAAGGAGAATCACAGCATGAGATCCTGTTGAGAGTACTCTCCCATCTTTTTCTTCCTCTCTCTTCTCTCCCCCTTTCTCTTTCTCACTCAGAAGAGGCAAATATATATACTTTTTTAAAATGCTGGCTAGGCCCATCCATAGTGGTGCAGAAGTAGGGTGCCACTGTGCAATACTGGAGCTATATGGGAAGCCTAGTTTCAAATCCCAAGTCAACCTGGTTGGCTAAGAGGCTGAGATAAGGATCGTGGCATGGTGAGACACTGTCAAGGGTGCACCACCACTATCACCTGCGAGAAATAAATTTAAAACACACTTTTTAAAATGCTGGCTAGTTTTTTTTTTTCTTCCTTTTCTTTAAACTAATCAAAATCATAAAGAAATTCTAGACATCTCTAATTTTGGTGGCCAGACTTGGTACACTCAGCCACAGAAGGCATGGAATGGATGGATGCTGCCCACATAGATGGACGAGGCCACAGCACTCAGTGTGGGCACAGGGCTCTTCTCCAGTGCCTTTGAGCCTGACCCCATAGCCCATCGTGCACACAAATCACATACAATCCAAACAGCTGCAATCACAGCTGGAGACGTGCCATCAGTGTCCCTCTCTGGCTCCTGCTCCTCCTGCTGCTGACCATAGCTGAGGCCCACCCAGGTTCTAATGAAGGCTGGAGAGCCTGAGGGTTGGATGAGGTTGGAGAGAGAGAGAAGTCACACTACTTCCTCTGCACTGTCATCTTATCTGGACTGTTAATGTGCCACCTCAAAAAGGTAAAAAGGGAACCACTTTGAAGAATGTCCTCAGAAGCAGCAGCTGCCCTCTTGGGTCCATCCTAGTGATGAAGGAAAACTCTCCCTGATAAGCATAGAGGGCTGGTCTTGGTCCCACTCAGTACCTGTCAGGGCCATGGTGTTAGCCTTCTTGCTCTCCTGGGCCCCCTTCTGGGCCCACACGTAGACCATGTACTCCACACCTGGCCTCAGGCCTGTCAAGATGGTGCTGTTCTGCTCCTTGCCCACTGGGACCTCCCTGGTCTCCTGGCCGTCAGCAGATGTGTAGCGCACCATGTATCCATCAATGGCAGCCTGCACTGGGTCCCAGGAGACGATGGCCGTATTCTCTGTCACCCGGTCAGTCACCAGATTTTGAGGGCTGTCAATTTCTTTTGTGAAAAAAAAAATGTAGAAAAGGCTGAACTTTAGAACCAAGGGAGGGTATCCCACTACCCCTTTTCCAGGAGCTCTCCACCCAGGCTGTCTTCAACAATGGTACCATTCCTAGCCAGCAAGGAGTGTGGTGGTTAAGTTGTTGGACTCCCACATGGCTCACTGCGGTTCAAGTCCCAGACCTGGTGGCTTGAAAATCATGCCAGGCGCAGGTGTGCATGCTTAAAATCTCAAGAGGAAAATGGAGGAGAAGAGACCATGGCATGGCCAACACCCTTGGAGTGATTTCTCATTTTCCCTCTGCCTCTCTCTCTCTCTCTCTCTCTCTCTGTCTCTCTCCAGCAAGCACACACATCCTACGGCAAAAAGCTAAAACTAAAAACAAAAATAATGATATAATTCCATTTAAAACAGGGCTTCGGCTTCCATTTTCCTGGGAAACAAACCACTGGATAGTAAAATTGCAAGGATAGGGCCAGCAGTTACTATAGTGGTTGAGACACTCAACTCCCACATTGCTGACTGTGGTTCACATATATATATATATATATATATATATAATTAAATAAATAATTCTATTTAACTGCAAGGAATTCCAAAAACTGCAAGGAATCAGATCTTCTCCAACATTATTAATATGGAAATTTTATGTCCTTAGAAGGACATAAACCTCCACAGTAACAAGAGAAGCCATAAAAGCTGCTGCTGAAACAACTTCTTTTATGATATCCATAGTATATAGTTTTTTTTTCCCACAGAATTTATGAGCCGAGAAGTTATATCTCACAACTATCCTGACTTATACAAGGGGAGGAGAATGGAGACCAGAGAAACGAAGGGCCTTGTCCAACTTCCTTTTGTCTTCTTTTGTCAAAACTGAGACTAAACCTGCTTTTCTAAATGTTGATCCCTGTCACCTTCTCAAGGACTTGTTTCTTCTACTCTCTCCTCCCTCTTGCATCATCATCCCTTCCAGCCAAACAAGTTCTAAAACATCCCATCCCTCTTCATCTTACTCTACTTCTCTGCACCCTGAGCTGACAGATGGTCTCAAGAGTCATGTCTGCATGCCTTAACTTCACTCTTCCCTCCCCACACACTCAACTCAGCCATGTTTGGCATCTTTCTACATCACACCACTAAATGTGCTAGTCTACATGGCCAGCACAGTCCATGTGGCCACATCTAACAACGTGCTAACCTCAATTTACTCCACTGTTGAGCAGCATTTGGCAGAGCTGGTCCTTCCTTCTTGAAACATACTCAACGCTTGGCTGCCATGACTATACTCCCCCCTGGTTTTCCTCCTCCTCAGTCCTTTGGTAGCAACCTTCAAATGCTGGAGTGTCCAAGATGCCTTCTTTTCCTCTCTCTCTTAATTTTTCCCCAGGTGATCTCACCCATGACCATGGCTTTATATTCCAACTGGATGTTCATTGCTCCACAATATGTAGCAATTCTGAGACTTTGGCTTGCATCTGCAACTGCGCACACACACCACAGTGCCTGTATTAGATATTCAATGAATATTTTTGGAACCAATAAATAAAATACTCAATTAACCAAGGAATCTCATGAGTATTTCAAACTTAAATATTTAAAAGTCTAAAGTTCCTCCAAACTTATTTATCTCTGTCTCCTCTCTCATGAAATCATATCTGATCGTCCACGTTGCTCAAATGAGAAACACAGGTCATACTTGAGTCCTCATTGTCTTCCTCTCCTACATCTCATTTATCAACAAGTACCTCCAAAATATTGCCAGACAAACCCTTTTCTAGACCCCTGTTGCCATCATACTTGTCCAAATCATCACTATCTTCCATCTAGATGTTTATAATGACCCCTTTCCTAATTCCCCTACTTCTATATTTGTCATTTCTTTCATTTGGCCTGAAAAAAATCCTTTTAAGTGAATATTACATTATGTCATCGTCTAACAAATGGAACATACTTCCTCTCTTACAGACCATGTGATCCTGGACGACCTGGCCCCTGCTCCTACGACCTCAGCTCAGGACACTTGCCCTCTCATCCTCTAGGCTCCAACAATGGCAGCCTCTTTTCAGCTCCTCCACCTTCTCATGTACTACTCCAACTGAGAGCCATCACACATACTCTTCTCTCTGCCTGAAACAGCTATTCCCCCCCCCCAATGTCCATTCTGCCCTTTTTCTACAAGCACACTGTCTAATAGAGCTCTGCATTAATGGAAATATTCTACAGTCTGTACTATCTGATATCTGTGGCCATTGACCATTCAAAATTTGTCAAGTCCAACTAAGGAAATCATTTTTTATTTGAATTATGTTTTATTAGTTAAAATTTAAATAGGTACATCCACCCAGCTGTCCTATGTTGGACAGGACTATGTAACAGAAGTTTTTTTTTTTAATTATTTTTATTTTATTTTATTTATTTATTTATTTATTATTTTAATTTTATCAGAGAGAGAGAGAGAGTGAGAAAGCAAACCACCAGGTTCAGAACTTGGACCATGGTTAGTCATGTGGGACTTTTTCTACAAGCACACTGTCTAATAGAGCTCTGCATTAATGGAAATATTCTACAGTCTGTACTATCTGATATCTGTGGCCATTGACCATTCAAAATTTGTCAAGTCCAACTAAGGAAATCATTTTTTATTTGAATTATGTTTTATTAGTTAAAATTTAAATAGGTACATCCACCCAGCTGTCCTATGTTGGACAGGACTATGTAACAGAAGTTTTTTTTTTTAATTATTTTTATTTTATTTTATTTATTTATTTATTTATTATTTTAATTTTATCAGAGAGAGAGAGAGAGTGAGAAAGCAAACCACCAGGTTCAGAACTTGGACCATGGTTAGTCATGTGGGAGTCCAGCACCTTAACCACCACTCCACCTGCCCACCCCAGTGTTACAGAAGTTTAAGCTGGGCACAGACTTGCCAGACTTTTTATCCCAGCCTTTCTTGTAGCAAGGTCTGACACTAGGGCTTGGATCTGGCAATGGAACATGAAGATAACAGATATGAGCAATGCTTACATCATTCCTGAGTTTTTATAGGCCTTTTTCACTTGTTGGAAGGCAGATAGAGCAATGCCCAGGTGAATGAGGGCAACTCCTACAGATGACTGAGCAACAATACTGAAGGAGCCCGGGTTTCCTTTACTAGGGAGCTAAGACATTAGCCAGTTCTAGGTATACTGCACTACTGCACCAAGGAATCAGTTCTTTCCTTGTTTAAGCAACTGTTTTAATTGGTGTTTCTGTGAAGATGTATTCTAGTACTATTCACTTATCTCTATTTGATGTCACAATCCTCCAGAATTCAGTAGTTTTTGCCATAAGGCGGACGCCACCATACCAAGCCATCACTCATCCCTTCTAAAAAATAGCTCATCCCAGCCTAAGTAGCAGGTGCTAGAATCCCAGCACACCCTAAAAAGCCAGGTACAATGGCATGTCCTATAGTCCTAGGTACTTGGGAGGCTGAGGGTGGAGGATTATAATACCAAAAGACTTGTCTACAAGATCTCTGTCTCACAAATTTACACACCCACACACATGTATACACATTCACTACCACCAGAGCCCAGCAAAAATATAAGTATATACCCCACTATTCTCCATACCTCAATGTTCAACTCTTTTATAGAACTTATCATAATTTGTGGCTATGAATTTGTTTCCTTATTTATTCTATAACTTTCCTGCTAAATTTCAAAAAACTAAAGATATTTTTTGTTTTGTTCATTACTGTATCCCAAAGCCTAGCACTTAGAAGAGGCTCATTAAAAGTTAATTATATGTTGAAATGAACACAGAACTAGCTGTCTAGGTTAATACTTGTTCCTTTATATTACAGAATATTTATTAAGTTGAACCTACATAAAATAGTTTGTGCAGCACAACGCTTTAACCCAGTGGTTATAGGAATGCTACACTGACATAACATTATTTTTTAATGTTCTGCTACTCCCTACTCCTGTTGTCCTATCTTTCTCCTTTTTAATTTCTATTTTTATAAATCAAAAATTACAAAACTTTATTTTCCACAGAGAAATTGACATTCTTTCATTTGTTAAATGTTTCTTCCCTCTCCCACATATCCTCTACTCCCTACTCTTTTATTTATTTGTTGGTTGGTTGGTTGGTTGGTTGGTTGATTTGTTTATTATCATTTATACATTCCATCACTGTACATCATTTATATTGGAAAGAGACTTTTATCCAGCATGATATACACCTCAGTCCAGCCCAGTTGAGAATACTAAACATATCCATATACACCTCAGTCCAGCCCAGTTGAGTATACTAAACATATCCTCATCAATAGATGGTAAACTATATCTGTGTCCCACAAATATCTTACCTATTTTTTCCCCAAATTTCCTTTCTTATACTCTTCTCCTCCCACACTCTCCTTCCACTTTGTCTCTAGTATATATAAAAAGGTTTAATTTTTTTATGTCCTCCAGTCTTTCAGTGTCTACCATAGAGTGCAGATGGTCAGTATAAGCTACTTCCTACTCTCTACCAACCACCTCTTTTCCCTGACAGTCTCTGTATCTACACTTATCCTTTCTACTATCAAATTCCTTATAATTTTATATGCGTGAGAGGGAAAGTGGCTAAAGAATTAGCTTTAGAGAGACTTTTAAAACATTTGTGGGACTGCTGAAAACTGGATCCACTACTATACTTGTATCTTTAGATAAATATAAAATTTTCACAACGAACTCCCCTAAAACAGCCAGCAATCTCTCAGGTCACAGACTCCAAAAGCAGGTGTGTCATCATACAATAGCAGGAGATCAACATCTATAAATTACCTCAGTTTGCTTTTCTCTCACCTGTGGGGGCCTTAGTGTCAGCCTTCTTGCTCTCCCGGGCTCCCTTCTGGGCCCACACGTAGACCGTGTACTCCACACCTGGCCTCAGGCCCATCAGGATGGTGCTGCTCTGCTCCTTGCCCACTGGGACCTCCCTGGTCTCCTGGCCATCAGCAGACGTGTAGCGCACCATGTACCTGTCAATGGCAGCCTGTACCAGGTCCCAGGAGATGGTGGCCGTATTCTCTGTCACCCGGTCAGTCACCAAGTTTTTGGGGCTGTCAATGTCTAAAAGGAAAATGATAATCCATAAACTCACAGGCACAGAAGAGCAAGTGCTAGTGGCTACTTTGCTTGAGGTAAGGCAGTTTCCTGGCTTATGGTTTTCTCATCGCATATGTCGTCCCTATTTGTTTCATGGATACAGACCTCATCTGCACGGCTGGATCCTTGGATCCTCAAGGAGCAGCACAGGGAAGTGACCTGAGCACCCGACCCCCAGCCAGAAGAGCTGGGTTCTAGTTCCAGATCGAAGAGGCAGAAAAGAAGGGTAGGAAGGCCTTGGGCTTGAGCCAGCAGACCTGGAACTTCACCTCAGCTCTGCCATCAGCCAGCTACGTAACTGCACAAATCAGCTGCCTCTGGATGAGCGTCAATTTCTTCATCCATTACATGTAAGCCTTAAACTAAATAGATTTTAAGGTACCATAATATTTCATGAATATTCCATGAATCACCAGCTAAGTTTGTGACCTGCAGAAATCATGATTTCTCTGTATTTGAGGTTTCTCAACTACAAAATGGGGATTGATTGTTGCTCTGCCTGTCTCAACAAATTTTTCTGGGGACCAAGTAGGTGAGGAAAATAATCCTCAGTCATTGCTTGTGAACGTATGAAATATAGCAGCCCACTTATTCATGGTTTCTCTTCCCTTGGCTTCAGTTACCCACAGTCAGCCTGAACATAGTTGAGTCCATGAATACAATACCATAAGGTCTTTTGAGAAAGAGACCACAGTCACATAATTTATATTGTTATAATCACTGTGTTTTATTTTCAGTTATTCTTGTTAATCTCTTACTCTGACTGATTTGTAAATTAAACTTCATAATAGGTTTGTATACATAGGAAAAAACATTGTAAATAAAGAGTTCAGTACTACTTGCCATGCCAGACATCCACCAGGGGTCCTGGAATGTATCCCCCGGGGATAAGGGAGGACTAGTGTAGTGCAGATACTTTGGAAAGCCACTTGGCAGATTCCCTCAAAAAGTTAAGGGTTGGGACTAGCAGATGGCATGATGGTTATGTCTCTGGACTCTCATGTAGTCTACTGTGGTTTGAGTCCCAGACCCAGGGTCCTAAAACTCATGCCAGGTACGTATGCATGCATACTCAAAATCCCAAGAAGAGAATGGAGAAGGGATTGTGACATGGCCATCCTCCCTGGGGAGTGATTTCTCATTTTCTGTCTCTCTGTCTCTCTCTGTCTCTCCAGCGAGCACATGCACCCTATAGCAAAACAAACTCTCAAGAAGAAAAAGTAGAATTGCCACATGACCCAGTAATTTCACTCCTGGGTACATAGTTTAACGAAGAAAGATGTCCACATGTCCACACAAAAAATGCATGCACGAATGCTTATAGTATCATTATCCTCAGCAGCAAAAATGTAGTAACAACCCAACAATCTATCAACTGATAAATAGATAAACAAAAAGTGGCTTGTTTATACATATATACAATGAAATACTATTTTACAATGAAATCAAGTTCTTAGATGTGCCATAACATGAATGAACCTTAAAAATAATATGTTTAGTGAAAGAAGCCAGTCATAAAGGGACATATATTGTGTTAGTCTATTTACATAACATGTCCAGAACTGAGAAATCTGTAGAGGCAGAAAGTAGTGGTTTCATAGGGCTGGAGAGAATGGGGAAATGGAATGACTGCTGAGGTAAGAGGTTTCCTTGTGCTGATGAAAATGTCCTGAATTTGATAGTAGTGATGTTGCACAATTCTGAATATACTAAAACCATGGAGTTGTACACTTTAAAAGGACAAATTTTATACTATGTAAATATATCTCGATACAGTTGCTCTTAAAATGAGGGAGTGGAGATGGAAAAGCCTTAAAATTATGAACTGTTATTGCAAATAATTGCAACCTTAGGATCCTCAGAATGGAGCATATGGTGCTCAGAAATGGATTTACTCACTCAGAAAGCAAAAGCCTTTCCTTGTTCTAAGAAGAGCCAAATAGAAGTTATTTCCCTAAAGTACTGAACTCACAGATTCTAAAAGAGGTGGCTTCTTTATATTTCCTTGCTTTCAAGGAGAAATATTTAATGATTGATCACAAAGGAAATATACAATTGGAGGAACAGCGAGTAGATGTGACCAATCCCAATTAATCTTTTCAACACTAAAGCACGAGGCTAAATATAAGGTCCTTATATTTGAGATAACGTTTTTAAAGGGTAGTGTGGGATAGTGTGAGTAGTATACAAAGATTTACTACCTTGCTGTTCTATAAATTCTCAATTTCTGCAAATGTCAGAGAAGGAAAACAAAACTTGACTACCCATAGGCTTAGCACTACATCTTACATTCCCAGAGAATGATGCGCCATTACCTGTGGGGGCCTCGGTGTCAGCCTTCTTGCTCTCCCGGGCTCCTTTCTGGGCCCACACATAGACCGTGTACTCCACACCTGGCCTCAGGCCCGTCAGGATGGTGCTGCTCTGTTCCTTGCCCACCGGGACCTCCCTGGTCTCCTGGCCATCAGCAGACACATAGCGCACCACATACCCATCAATGGCAGCCTGCACTGGGTCCCAGGAGATGGTGGCCGTATTCTCTGTCACCTGGTTGGTCACCAAGTTTTGGGGGCTGTCAATGTCTGAAAGGAAAATGCTGATCAATAGACAACCAACAGGCACAGAAGGGTGAGCTCTTATAGCCATTTGGCTTGAGGTGAGGCAGTTTCCTGTTCTTATGGTTTCACCTCTCATATGCTATCCCTATTTGTTTCATGGGCACAGACTTTGTACAGTTAGATCCTTGGATCCTCAAAGAGGCATTAGAGGAGAGTGGCCTGAGCACCGGACCTCCAGCCAGAAGAGGTGGGTTCTAGTTCCAACACAAAGATGCAGAGCTGAGGGAAAGCAAGGTGACTGGGCTGGAGCCAGCAAACCAGAGACCCTGCCTCAGCTCTGCCATCAGTCAGCTGTATCCCTTCACAACTCAGGCACCATTAGCCAGGTCCTAGCTTCCTCTGTAAAATCTTGGGTTCAAACCGGATGAACTTTAAGATTACATCAAGCACTCATAATCCCATGCATACGTCTAATTTCATAAATTGCTAGCTTGTTTTGTGAGCTTGGAAAGGTTGCTTCACTTTTCTTCTGAATTTGTAAAATGGAGTTGTTGATAGTTATTAAACATCTCTCTTGAGACTAAAAAATGTCACATAGAAAAGGGTCTTTAAGGGATCAGCAGATGGTGAAATGGTTACATAGCTAGACTCCCACATGGTCAACCACGGTTCAAGTACCAGACCCAGCAGCTTAAAACACATGTCAGGCGTGTGTACATGTGTGCCCAGGATCCCTAGAGGAGAATGGAGGAGAAAGGACTGTGGCATAGTCATCCTCCCTGGTGGGTGATTTGTCACATTCTGTCTCTCTGTCTCTCCCTGCCTCCCAGGCAAATGCACATGCCCTATAGCAAAAATCTCTCTCTAAAAAAAAAAAAAAAAAAAAGGAAAGGAAAGAAAAGGATCTTCAAATATGTTAAAGTATCATAGTGTTTCATTTCTGAAGTCATAGACTATTCACTCCACAATTCAAAATGTAATCAAGAGCCAATCAGCCTCTTTGTCTCTCTTTCCTTTATCAAGGGGAAAAGTGGGTAAAAATAATATCCGTGCTTATCCTGTAGAACTGTTGTATGTCCCTAGAATAGTTCTGAGCACTAAGAAGATGCTTAGTGGTCATAATAGATTGTTATTAATGATATCAGGTTACTGATGATTTATAAATGCAAGAGTTTATCCTTTCCATGCCATACACACGCAAAGTACTAGAAAATGTATTCACTGAGTAAATATTAGCAGGTATTTGTTCTAAATTGTTCATTGCAAAAGCTATTTTCCTGAAGTTATTTGCTCTTGTGTCCTATTGTGTATGCTGGTTTAGACCTTGACTTAAAAAAAAAAAAAAAAGTGTATCTCCATTCCGGCCTCAGAGCCCACAACCAAGGCTAAATCAACAGTATTTGACTTGACTGACCAACCATCTCCAGCCTATAAAAGAGCTTGGAGAAGCCAAATGGGTGGGGCTTAGAGAATAAACTTATTTGGAAAGAATCACTGCAAGTCCCATGGGTAAACTCCTGCTTTCAATGAGCCATTTCAGTGGGATCCCTCACAGAATTTGCTGAGTCTACCCTGGAGCACAGTTCTCAACTGAAGTGACTAACAATGTCTGGAGACATTTCTGGTTGCCACAGCTCAGTGTGGCATAGTGGGGAGATCACTAGCATCCAGTGGGTAGATGCTACAGGTGCTGTTAAACATTCTGTAACAGAGAACTATCTAGCTCAGAATTGACCAGCTTAGGAACGTGCCCAGAGCTCGGGCAATACTGTAGGCTGATGTCTGACACACACCTAAAGATTTATGAGGTAAGAGTATGGCTGGAGCCTCCGATGCAGAACAAAGAGAAGCTGCAGTGCTACAAAAGACCTGTATCTCCACTGACTGGACAAAGGATGTAGGCCAAGCAGAGGAAGGCCACGTGGGACTGTCAGAAGGCATCCACGAGGACCAACAGGAGGGGCAAGGTGACCCCAACAGAAAGGCCCTGGGGTGCACCCCTGATGTACAGTGGAAGGAAGGGGAGTGAGAAATTAGTGGGAGACCCACATTTGCCTACAGGATACTACAGTGAGAGCCCCCACCACCCACCCAGTGGAAGACATAATCAGAAGGGTTCCATGGAAGGAAGGATCAGCCTCAACACTTTCTGGTCCCACAGCAACCCACAACTGCTATGGCTGCTATAGTCAAGCAAGACCTTCTGTGAGCCCTGGCCTCTCCTTCCTCCTGACCCCTAACCCACAGCTTGTCCTCTCTCCTGACCCCTCTCCTCTTCTTTCTCCTGATCCCTTACCTCTTCTCAGTGTACCCTGCTGTGCCAACAGAGCTGGGTCAGGCACTGCAATCAGCAAACTGAGTGAACAGTGCTCAAAGCACAGGAAGAAAATACAATGTGAGCTGAGTGACTTCCCATTCCCAGCAGGCAGTCAGCCAGGGGCCAGACCTACAGACAGGGAGTTAGTTACACCTGTAAATGGAACATGGGCTGCTATACAGAGGCATTTAATTACTGAGGTGACACACTTGGCCAAAAGTGACTAGATAACTGCTTACTTTTAGCTAATAAAATGCTATTATTATTTCTGCCTAAAATGTTCATTCAAAAGGCAGAAAAAGAAACAAGCATTAGGGGCCAGCAGGTGACGTAATAGGTAAGGCACTGGACTTCCACATGGTCGACTGTGGTTCAAGTCCTGGACCTGGTGGCTTGAAACTCATGCTGGGCATGTATGCATGCGTGTCCAAAATCTCAAGAGGAGAATGGAGGAGAAGGGATTGCAGCATGGCCACCCTCCCTGGGGGAGTGATTCCTCACTTTCTGTCTCTCTGTCTCTCCAAGTGAGCACACAAGCCCTATAGCAAAAATCTCTTCCAAACAACAAAAAAAGGGAACATTACAGGATTCAAAGAGATGAGGTTTTTCAAAAACTGTGTTGGGTCAGAATTCATAAATCCGTCTCTCTCAGCATGACAGGCACTGGTGCTTTCCTCACTTTTATTCCTCATCAAGGTGAACCCTTTAGTGAGCTAGCCAAAAAGAAGATGTGCAGGCAGAGGAGGAACACGGGGCTGTGAGCAACAAGCATTCCATTAAGACCACAATCTGAGACACACTTTCTAACAGAAGTTGTGAAAAGGAAATGAGGGGCACATGGTTCATCATGGAAAGATCCAAACCCCACTTTCTGCCAAGGTCAGAGAAACAAAGTCAGCAAAGAAAGGCTGTGAACTCAACATTCACAGTGGTAATATGTGTTCTCTCACCTGTGGGGGCCTTGGTGTCAGCCTTCTTGCTCTCCTGGGCTCCCTTCTGGGCCCACACGTAGACCGTGTACTCCACACCTGGTCTCAGGCCTGTCAGGATGGTACTGCTCTGCTCCTTGCCCACTGGAACCTCCTTGGTCTCCTGGCCATCAGCAGACGTGTAGCGCACCATGTACCCATCAATGGCAGCCTGCACTGGGTCCCAGGAGACGGTGGCCGTATTCTCTGTCACGCGGTCAGTCACCAGATTTTTAGGACTATCGATTTCTTTAAGAAAATATTTGGGACAGTCTAAGCTCTGAAGCTGTGAAAGATATACCAACCACCCATCATCATGACTTCAATTCTTGATATTTTCAGCCCTAAACAATGGTATTCCCATCTCAAGTTTCTGGTGGAAGTCAAGGGAGAGAATAGGCCCTGGTTTTCAATTTCAGAGGAGAAATCCCTATGAACTTGACATATTTTCTTTTTCTTTTTTTAAATATTTTTATTTAAATATTTAATATTTTATATTTTATATTTTTATTTTAATATTTTCAATCACTGTGTATCATTACAGCAACCAATTGAATTTTTCTATCATGGATACACTGTATACTGTTCCAGTCAGAGATATTATCATACATATTATCATCAACAGATCATTTTCCATTTTTTGTGTCCCTTGAATGTTTTCCTTCTTTCTTTTTCTCCTTGATTCTCTTTCCCCCTCCCCAGCTTCCCACTCTCCTTCTACACTGTCTCTGGTATCCACCGTTGCTCTCCATGCCTTTATACCTTCCAATCTTTCAGTTTCTGCCATAGAGTGCAGACATTCAGTATATATTGATTGGGGATATACAATACCTCTCTTTCATATTCTGGCTTACTTTACTTAGCAGTAAATCTTCCATATTCATCCACTTTCTATCAAATGCCAGGCAAAGCAATACTTCTTAAGAAGAGTGGAGTAGGTATCTCACTCCTGATCCCATAACATATGACAAAGCTGTGATAATCAAAACATAATGGTACTGGCACAAAAATAGGTATGTAGACCACTGGAACAGAATAGATACCCCAGAAATAAACCCCAAAACATAGCCGACTGATTTTTGACAAAAAGCACCAGACAATCCAGTGGGCAAAAGAAATTCTCTTCAACAAATGGTGCTGGAAACACTGGGTATCCACCTGCGTAAAGATAAAATTGGATCCCTATCTTTCACCACTAACAAAAATCAACTCAAAATGGATCAAAACCTGAGACTTCAAACCATAAAAACCATAAAACTACTGGCAGAAAACATTGGGAAACTCTGGGAGACATCAGAGTAGGCAAAGACTCCTTAACTAAGACCCCCAAAGAACAGGCAATAATCCCAAAAATAGACAAGTGGGGTTAAAAGCTTCTGGTTTAAAAGCTTCTGTGCAGCAAAAGAAACCATAATTAGAGTGACTCAGCAACCCCCGGAATGGAAATATATATTTGCAAACTATGCCTCAGATAAGGGACTGATAACCAGAATATACAGGGAACTCAAGCAGCTTACCCCAAAAAACATAATCGCAAATAAAAGATGAGTAAATGAGCTGAATAGTCAACCCTCTAATTAAGACATATCAACAACCAAAAAGCATATGAAAAAATTCTCAACATCATTTATCACAAGGGATATGCAAATCAAAACCACAATGAGATACCACCTAACACCAGTTAGAATGGCTAAGATTTAAAAAATAAAGAACAGTAAGTTCTTATGAGGCTGTGGAGAAAAGGTTAACTCTCCTATACTGTTGGTGGGAATGTAAATTCTCCACTGTGGAAAACAATACGGAGGTTCCACAAAGACCTACAAATAGAACTACCATATGATCCAGCAAATTCCACTCCTGGATTTCTATTTAAAGGATAGGAGGGCACTCAGTCAGAAAAGTGCTTGCACATCCATGTTTATTATGGTATTATTCAAAATTGCAAAGACATGGACATCCAAATGTCAACAAACAGATGAGTGGATTGAAAAAGTGTGCACACAAATACTATGGAATACTACTCAGCCATAAAAATATCAGTGAGACCCTTGACATACTTTCTTGACACACAGCTTCCTAAAATATGAGAGGAACAATGACTTCGTAGCAATATATGACACATCAAGACTATCAATTGGACGTGTTGTGAGGTTTGAGGTACCTAATTTATCATTTTAGCAAGGACCATTTCTTCACCAATTACTCTAAAAGTATTATCACAGCTACTACAATGACCAGATCCTGTCCACATCTTTGGTGAGTCTGCCAATCACACTGTGACTACATGACTGCAATTCTCCCTTCTGAAAGGCCAAGTGACTTCCTGAACATCTCATCATAGTAAGGGAGAAATAGCCTGCTGAGATTACTCTAGAATTCATTACTTTTTTTTTTTTTTTTGGAGAGGTTTTTGCTATAGGGCGCGTGCGCTCGCCAGACAGACAGAGAGAGACAGAGAGATAGAAAGCAGGAAATCACCCCCCAGGGGGGATGGCCACGCCGCAGTCCCTTCTCCTCCATTCTCCTCTCGGGATCTTGGGCACTCACGCACACGCGCCCGGCGTGAGTTTAAGCCACCGGGTCCGGGACTCGAACCGCGGTCGACTACATGGGAGTCCAGCGACATAGCCATTACGCTAACTGCTGGTCCCCCTAGAATTCATTACTTTTTATCTTAAAGAGTCCTACTTGCAAAGTCTCTCAGCCCAAGCTGCATCTGAATTGAGCATGCATGCACACTCAAATCTACAAGCTCAAAATTCAATCCCAATCGGTGTTGTCCCTCCTGTTACCTGTTGGGGCTTTGGTATCAGCCTTCTTGCTCTCTCGGGCCCCCTTCTGAGCCCACACGTAGACCGTGTACTCCACACCTGGCCTCAGGCCTGTCAGGATGGTGCTGCTCTGCTCTTTGCCCACTGGGACCTCCCTGGTCTCCTGGCCGTCAGCAGACGTGTAGCGCACCATGTATCCATCAATGGCAGCCTGCACTGGGTCCCAGGAAACGGTGGCCGTATTCTCTGTCACCTGGTCAGTCACCAGATTTTTGGGACTGTCGATTTCTTTAAAAAAAAAAAAAAAGTTTGGAAAAACCTAAGCTCTGAAGCTGTGGAAGATGTACCCACACCCCATCATGACTTCAGTCCCTGATTTTTCTTATCCCCAGGCAATGTTATTCCCATCCCAAGTCTGGAGTCAAGGGATAGAGTAGCCCCTGGTTCTCAATTTCAGAGGAAGAATCACCACAAACTTGACATACTTTCCTGATGCACAGCTCCCTAAAATGTGGAGGAACAATGTCTTCTTGGCAACATACGGCACAAGACTGCCAATTGGACATGCCATGTTGTTCAAGGTACCTAATTTATCATGTTATCAAGGGCTACTTCACCAGCAAGCACTCTAAAAGTATCAGGTCATCAGAAAAGTCACGACACATTTTTGCATAGAAAAACACATCATGACTTTTCTAATGACCCAATATTACCACAAGTACTGCAATAGCCAGATCCCATCCACGTCTTTGCTGAGTCTGCTAACAACTCTGCTAAGCCACAACTTTACTTCTCCCTTTTGGAAGGCCGAGTGGCTTCATGAACAGCTCATCATGGTCAGGGAGAAGCAGACTGCTGAGATCCCCATTAGAATTCACTGCCTTTGATCTTGAAGAGTCCCACCTGCAAAGTCTCTCAGCCCAGGCTACACCTGATGGTACCATGCACGCTCAAATCCACAAGCTTAAAAATCAATTCCAATTAGCATTCTCCCTCCTGTTACCTGTTGGGGCTTTGGTGTCAGCCTTCTTGCTCTCCCGGGCCCCCTTTTGGGCCCACACATAGACCGTGTACTCCATGCCTGGCCTAAGGCCCGTCAGGATGGTGCTGCTCTGCTCCTTGCCCACCGGGACCTCTCTGGTCTCCTGGTCATCCACAGATGTGTAGCGTACCACATACCCATCAATGGCAGCCTCAACTGGGTCCCAGGAGACAGTGGCTGTATTCTCTGTCACCCGGTCAGTCACCAAATTTGTTGGGCTGTCAATTTCTTTAAGATAGAAATAAAAGAATAATGTAGCCTTACCTCCTTCAAGTTCCTGAAAGACCAGCACATTACATAGTCCAAGATGATGAAATCAACCTATTTCAAAGTCTACCATATGCCAATGAGTAGAGAACTTAAAGATAATTAAGCAAATTGTAAGAAATTCCAAGAATGAGCTAGTGGCATTAAATGAGAAGAGTTTTCAAACAAAGTCAACACATAAAACGACTCTATAAGCTTTTCTCACGAGTTGTTTTGGAATAAAAAGAATCGATCTTCACATACAAATTTATCCTTTACCTTGGATTTATAAAGTAATGCTTTCAGTTCCTGACTCTTCATACCTGAGAGCAATTATATTGAATGAATCTCTGCATCAGTGCTGATATGTTCTCTGGGAAGAAAAATATCCTGCTAGTAGGAGCTATCAGTTGTTTCATATAAACACTATATCTGTGGCCAGGGAACCAGGAGAGTTTTTAGTGGATAATATCTGAGGTTTGGGCTAAAAGTAATCCTAGTTACAGAATGTGTCTGGGTTTCTACACAATTAAACTGGATTCAAACCTGTGCCCTGCCATTTCTTGGTTGCTAACTGTGGACAAGCTTTATAATATAAGTCTGTCTCCCCACTTCTACAGAGGAAAATGCCAGTACCTACCTCGTAGGTTCTGGTGAAGAGTCAATGAGCTATTGCACAGTAAATACTTAAATATGAGTTTTTATTTATTTTTCTACAGGGCGCATGTGCTCATCAGAGAGACAGAGAAAGAGAAAGTGAGAAATCAACCCCAGGGGCAATGGCCAAGCTGTAATCCCTTCTCCTCCATTCTCCCCTCAGGATTTGAACATGCATGCACATGTGTTCACCATGAGTTTCAAATCACCAGGTCTGGAACTTGAACTACAGTTGGTCATGTGAGAGTTCATCACCTTAACCACAATGCCACCTGCTGGCCACAAATATAAGTTGTTATTACTAATGCCTTTGAGGTATGAAATTCAGGTTGAGCATCCCTAATCAAAAACTCTAAGGTCTGAGATGCTCCAAAATTCAAAATTGTCTGAATGTCAGTATTGATGCCACAAGTAGAAAATTCCATATACCTGACTTCATGTGAAAAGTCAAAATCAAAATGCTGCAACACAAAAATATTGTCCAAATACACACACACACGTATATGTATATGTATGTGCAAATATTCCAAAAATCTGAAAAATCATAAATCTGAAACACTTCTGGTCTCAAGCATTCTGGATAAGGCACACTCAACAGGTACCACTTTCTCCTCACATATAAATCCTTAGAGTCAAATATCCAAGTAACAGGTGCATGATAGCATTCTTATTATGCTATTTCAAAAACTACCTCGTCAAGGCTGAATTTCCGTAATAGCAGCTGCATTTCAAGCCTATGCATCACCATTTGCCAAGTGTGGCCAGGTCAGCTCAGTAGAGTACAGAGCCCAGTGAGATGAACTGCTTTAAGGAGTGCCAAGTTCAGAATGCACCACAGTCCTCTGGCATGGAAGGACAAATAGCTTAGCTCAGAACTGAGTTGGCTTTTAATGCCCCAACCTCTTGCTTCACTACTGTAAGTGTCCACCCATCAAAAAATAAATAAGTAACACTGGAGAGGTGTAGCCTGTGGCCTGACTGGATTTCACAAGGCAGTCTGTGTGGTTCAAGTCTTGGATCCAGTGTCTCAAAGAACACACCAGGCATGTGTACATGAATGCCCAAAACCCTGAAAGGAGGAAGAAATGAAGGTGAAAGGATTGTGGTATGACCATGCCCCATGGACGGTGTTTTCTCATTTGTTCTCTCTTTCTCTCTCTCTGCCCCTCCAGTAAGTACACACACTCTCTAGAAAAAATTTAAAAAAACAAAAACCACTTGAAACTATCCAGCCTGTTTTGTTCTCACGACTTAGGTTTCTGCACATGCTGCTTCTGCTGCTAGCTCTCACCATTTTTGCTGGCGCTATCCAGATATCACCTCTGACAGACCCCTTTCCCAACCCAGTCTGTGGTAGGTTACCTTTTTAGAAACATGTGTTTGCCCTAGCACATAATTCACTGTACTTTGTATTTTTAAAATTGTCTTCTCTGGCCTGAGGATTGTGAATGCCACTCAGGCATGAACTGGGTCCTTTATTTTGTATGCCAGCACCAGGCCCCCACCCGACCCCTAGTGGCAGTACCACACCCAGTGGGCACCTGTATGCTGAGGTGCTTACTCACACCACTTCTGCCTGAGAAGGGGAAGGTTCTCTTGCATTCCATCTTCCACTGACTTACATAGTTTTGTCCACATGCTCCTTGCTCAACACTCAAAATCCTAGTAAACAGGTAAAGATGTGTAATGTGAACCAAAAGATGGCAATCTATAGCCCATGGGTCAAATATGACCCATTGCTGATTTTTATAGACAAAGCTTACTGGAACGTGTTATGCCAGTTCATTAACATGTTATTGTCTGTGGTTATTTTCATGCTCCAATGACAAAGTTGAATAGTTGTCTCCCAAAGCTGAAAATATTTACTATCTGGTTTTTTTTACAGAAAATTCAATGATCCTGACTTTAAACAAATATAGACCTCACCATCCTTACTGTCAACATCTTCTCTCCTCCCATAAAGGAGAAGTCAGCTCTCTGAGGGCCACTTGGATCTAGGAAGTTGTGCACCATGAAAGATTTCAAAGACCAAATGCTAATTAGCATTCTAAGAAATAATCATTGCTATCACTAATAGCATTCACTATGAGTCAGGCACTTTATATGAATTAACTCATGTAACCCTCCCAATAATGCCATGATGTAGACACTCAAGTGCCCCATTTCACAGATAAGAAACTGATTAATGTAAATGAGGCTACTTGCCCAAAACCACTTAGCTAGAAAATGGCACAGCTGGGACTAAAACCTGGACAGTTTGGTCCAGTCTGGTGACATAGTAGGTATTAAACTGAACTGCAGTGTTATAAGCCATGTGGCTGACCACAGTCCTGATCCCCAGATTGATCAAAAATATACCAGGCGGAGCCAGCAGGTGGTATGGTGGTTAAGGCACTGGATTCCCACATGGCCAGCCACGAATCAAGCCATGGAGGCTTGAAAATCACTCCAGGCACATTTGCATGCATGTCTAAAATCCTGATGGGAGAATAGAGGAGAAAGGAATGCTGTGTAGCCATCCTCCCTAGGGAGTGGTTTCTCACCTTCCCTCTCTCTCTTTGTCTCTCTCTCTCTCTCTCTCTCTCTCTCGTGAGTGCACATGCCCTATGGCAAAAAACTTTAAAATTTTTTTAAATAAATGGCAGGTTTGTGCATGCATGCCCAACATCCCGGAGAGCTGGGGGGCTGGGGAAAGAAGAAGGCAGCATGAGAGGTCCCTACCAAGGGTCCCCTGTCTCACTCTCTCTCTCTCTATATATATATATATATGTGTGTGTGTGTGTGTATATGTTTGTGTGTGTGTGTGTGTGTGTGCTTCTTGCTCATGTCCACCCTTTCTATCATGAATAAAATAAACTTTAAAGAAAAGAAAAAGGGCTTTTTTAAAAAAACAACCTGGACAGTCGAGCTTTTGAAACCATATTTCTATTTATCTTCTCTCAGAGTCTCTACCCATTGACTGTACAGAGCTGAGCCCAAACAATAAGAGTATCCTCTTCCTCTGATTTTCCATTGAATGTTTTGGAACCTAAAGTAGGATTTAGTTGGGCCACTCTGAATTTAGGGCGATGCCTGGGTTTAGGCAGAAAGAAGGGCCAGGCCATGTCCCAGTACATCCTCAGACCACCTGCAGGCCTGAGCTGAGCAGGACTAGATAAAGCATGGAGACACTTATAGTTTCTGAAAGCGTCAAGGCAGAATCAGTACATTTAGTGAATGTTGACTCAGGATGCAAACCATTTCCACGGTCTGAGAGAGAACTCCAGATTATATGCAAAGTGCCTGTACAGCTACTGCAAACTGAGATAAGCATTCAAATTTGCTGTCAGCCCAATGTTTTGAGCTTTCACATCCAAAAAATGAAAATTAGAAGGTGTTACTCTTCTCTGAGGGAGTTGCATATGGAATTCCAACCCAAATTAGTACGACCTTCTATATCAAATAAAAAGGCTGAGCTCTTGTTTGAGGTTAAAAAGAAAAATATTCATAATTATTAAATTCAAAATTGCTTTTGCAACCATCTCCCCAACCCCTGCAAACAAAAGGAAGGGCAATGCCAAGTGGGCAATGACCTTCTGACTCAAAAGTCAGCCTCTTCCCTGTCATAAGGACTCTTGTTCAAGCTCCATTCTGTTATACCTGTGAGAGCCTTGGTGTCGGCCTTCTTGCTCGCCTGGTTGCCCCTCTCGGCCCACACATAGACCTTGTATGCCTCCCCCGGCTTCAGGCCTGTCAGGATGGTGCTGCTCTGGTCCTTGGGTACTGCCGTCTCCTTGGTCTCCCCATCAGCGGAGGTGTAGCGCACCACATACTTGTCTATGACTGCCTGCACTGGGTCCCAGGAGACAGCTGCCGTGTCTTCTGTCACCTGATCAGTGACCACATTGGTTGGACCATCAATTTCTTCATTAAAGTACATGAAAAAGAAAAATCAGAGAAACCACTTGTTTTGCCATATTCACAGAAGCTCAAAGGTCTAGCTAATCTAGATGACCTACTTTAATACTTCACAGAGTGCAAGTGGCCCTCTCCGTGGCCTCTACTTGATCCTTGAACTGAGAAAGGGCTCTCCAATAGACAACACAAACTATTTCACTTCAGACTAATCAACACATTAGAGAAAAACACCTTCAGGTGTAGCTACTTGATGTATAATTCCTTCCAATGTGTCTACCCTACCTAGACATACAGAATACATCTTATTCCTCTTCCAGGAGATACCCAGTAAGTGCTCAAGAATAGTTATGCCTCTTCTTTGAGGGCCAGATGATGGTGCAGTAATCAAACACAACACTCAACAAGGTTGACCCACATGGAAGGTTCCAGGTTCATGCCTGGGGACCACCCTGAGTACACTAGGCACGCATGTCCTCATGGTCCCCTTACCTAACTGAGGCTGGAGGTGGATCGCAGCACCAAGACCCAGTGGGAGGTGCTGTCTGTCTCCTTATTTCTCTCAAATATAGAAAAAATAAATAAAACTTTTTTAAAATGGAAGAATAGTTATTCTTCTTCCTAATTCTCCTCAAATCAAAACATCTTCACTACTCTTACCTGTTCCTTCTAAATCATGGTTCCTAGACCTGGCACTTACAGCTATACTTTCTTTCCCTTTTCAAATAAAAGTCCCCAAAACTCAGCTCATCAATTCACAGCAATCCATTACGTACCAGAGAATGTAACAACACTCAGAATTTGTCAGTGAGAGGGCCCAGCAAAAGGCAGAGTGGTTAAGGTGTTAGACTCTCACGTGACTGACCACAGTTCAAGTCCCATACCTGGTAGCTTGAAAATCATGCCAGGTGCATGTGTGTGTATGCTCAAAATCCCAAGAGGAGAATGAAGGAGAAGGTATTGCAGCATGGCCATGCCCCCTGGTGAGGAAGGGTGATGTCTCACTTTCCCTCTCACTTTTTCTGTCTCTCTGTCTCTCTTTCTCTCTCTCTCCAGCGAGTGCACATGCTCTATAGCAAAAAAACTCAAAAAAAGAAAAAAAAATCAATGAGAAAAAGAGAAATTCCTACCTGTGTGGAGTTTATATTTTAAAAGGACCAGCCCAGAACAATATGCCAGTATGTCCTAGACACTGTGCTTCCTAGTAACATGTCCTGGGCTCATGCTTTTAGAAAATTTCTAGTTTTCTTTTTTTGATGCATGTACTTGTTAACCCAGAGGTTCTCAACCTTTGTCAACACTGGGCACCTGCTAAGTGTCACCGCCAGAGATCCTGCTTCAGAAGGTCTCAGGTAAGCCCTGGCATCTCTAGTAAAAACACAAAACTCCCCAGATAATTCCAACATCGGGAACCTCCATGTTAAACTATAATGCCTGGACCCAACATTTATCCTTGCTTTATTTTTTTTAAATAAATCCCACTTATTATTTAGTTTTTTATTCAACATGTCTACTTTCCATTCCAGCTTCTTATCATTTGAGATCTCAAGAAGTAAGCCATCAGAGCACATCCATCAAGGTCACTGATAAAAACAGCTGCACAAAACAAAGCTGAGGTATGTCTCGAGATCCCTCCCTACATACACATAGTTACAGATACAACACAGTATTTCACTCTTGAACACCTGGGCATTCCCCCCACACACACACGTAGCTCTTGGTCTCTTGGCCAAGGGTTTTTAAGAGAAAAATTATAACTTCACATAATTGCATTTTATAACATTAGCTACAATGCACCTTCCTCAAGCACAACGGCAGTGTTTTATTTGTGTGCAAGGAAATGAAATATGTTCTATCACCTGAGGCAGTATATATTGCATTTAGCAAATCAACTGCTGTTTATTGAGTATAAACTAAGCAACAGGTACTTTACATACATTACTTCATCAAATCTCGGAAAATCAACACAAGGCATTTATTACATTTCCCAGGTATTCGCTTGGAAAATTAATCATGGCTACTATTTCTAGGGCACTAAATATGTGCCAGACTCAGACAGGTTAGATAACCTGTCCAAGATCACTCAGATGGTAAATGGCAGTCACTGACTCACTCCATAAGCATTCACTCAGTGCCTACTCAGAGCAGAGGATTCAACAGTTGTATGGTTGAATGGTGTTCTACCCCAAAAAAAGTTTGTTGAAGTCCTAAACCTCAGTACCTCAGAATGTGACCTTATTTAGAAATAGGATCTTTCCAAAGATAATCAAGTTAAAATGATATCATTCAGGTGGACTCAATTCAATATGGTTGGCATCCTTATAATAAAGAGAAATGTGGACATGGAGATAGACACACAGAGCAGGAAGTCGGTGTGAAGATGCCATGTTACTTGGGAGATGTGTATAAAAGTCAAGGAATGCCAAGGGTTGCCAAGAATACCAGAAGCTAGAAGATGCAAGAAAAGAGTCTCTCTTCAAGCTGTCAGAGAGAATATGGCTCTGCTGACACCTTGATTTCAAACATCTAGGCTCCACACTGTAAGACAATAAATTCCTATGGTTTTAAGCCACCCAGGTTTTGTTGTTGTTGTTTTCAATTTTTTTAATTTATGTCATAGAACACATGAAGGTGCACGAGCAAGAGAGAGTGAAAGAGGAGAAAGAGAGGGGTCAGCATGTGGTGTGGTGGCTGGGGCAATGGACTCCCATGCGGCCAGCCACAGTTCATGTCCCAGACCTGGTAGCTTGCTTTCTCAGTTTCTCTCTCTCTCTCTCTCTCTCTCTCTTTGGTCAAATTATGAAAATAATAATGATGAATAAAAATTTTTTTAAAAAAAAGAAAGAAAGTAAAAAGAAAGAGTAAGCGTCCCCTAATGGGACCAGGTCATGTTGTAATCCTTTTTTCTCCAATACTCCACCCTGTCAAGATCCTGGGCACACATATGCATACCCAGCATGTTAGCCACTGGAACCAGGACTAAAACCCTGATCTACCATGTGGAATTCAGGGTCCTCTGTGCAGTGCTCAACTGCTACTCTATGGGGTCAACCCCAACCCCCAGTTTTTGATACCTTGTTACTGTAACCTTCAGAAACTAATAAAAGCAATAACAACAAAAATAAATAAATAAGGATTCTCTCTTATAAAACTAACATTCTCTTGAGAAGAGACATATAATAAGCAAGTAGTGACAGTATTATGAAATGAAATAAGGCAAAGTAAAGGAAAGGTTCACACTTTCATTTTTATTTTGCAGAAATTGTCAAGAACTAGCTAACAAATACTATTATAAGAAGAAAAGCTGAATAGTGTAAGAAAAAGACAAATCATTATAAATCCTTACAGATCACTTACATTGTAAGTGAATATTACCCCTGTCCTATTTCTGTCAATTTTTTGTTCCTATACAATATAAACAAATTAGTTTCACTTATTTAAAAAGTGCCATTTGTGTGTTACTATTTTTTTTTATATTTTCTTCCTAATAGTGACAAGATGAATCTGGAACTCATAAACAATCACATGAAATGCCTATTTTAATATCTTCATCATGAAGCTTTGGGTTATAGAAGGAAGCATGAGAAAAAGAAATAAATGGAGAAGATTGTCAATTTAGACAAGAAAACCAGGAAAGAGTTCTCACTGAGAAGGTAACATTTGAACAAAGGAACCTCATTCCTGGCAGAAGAAACAGTAAATTCACACAGGCCCTGCTTCATGAAGTCGAGAAGCCCAGAGCATCTAGACAGAGTAAGTCAAGTGACTGAAGGTGAGGCCAGTGAGGTGAGGGAGAGAGTGGATTGTGAACACCCTTACAGGCCATTGTAACGACTTCAGCTTTTAAATAAATGAGAAGTCTCCAGCAATTTCAAAGAGAAGAATGACATATTCTGACTTGTGTCATTAAAGAATCTCTCTGGCTACTAGGGAGAGTATACACTATTACAGGCAAGAGTGGAGGTCACCTAGGAGGCTGCTATAACAGTCAAGGTTCAAGATGGCAGGTGACAGGGTGCAGACAACTGTGGCAGTGCTGAAGATGCTAGAAAAGGTTGGGTTTGACAGTTTTCAAGGGCAAAGCCATCAGAATCTGCTGATAGACTAGGTAAGGATAAAATGAATGATTTGTTGGGACCAGCAGTTAGCGTAATGGCTATGTCGCTGGACTCTCATGTAGTCGACCGCAGTTCACGTCCCAGACCTGGTGGCTTAAAAAAACTCACCCCGGGCACGTGTGCGTGCATGCCCAAGATTCCGAGAGAACAGAGGAGAAGGGGATGCGGTGTGGCCATCCCCCCTGGGGGGTGATTTCTCGCTTTCTGTCTCTCTGTCTCTCTTTGTCTGTCTGGCAAGCACATGCGCCCTATAGGAAAAACCTCTCCAAAAAAAAATAATGATTTGTTGTTTTGGAACCTGATACAGATTGAATGTGCCCAACAGAAATTCATGTATTGAAATCTAGTGACCCATTATAATGGCATTGAGAGGGTGGAAAATTAATCCAATTATGCTGTTGAAAGATGGGGCCTTTAGGAGGCGATTGGGATTGGATAAAGTTATTAGGGTGAGATCTCCATGGTTGACTCATGGTGGGTTTATAAGAAGAAGAAATAAGATAGGACCAGCAGTTGGCGTAATAGCTATGTCGCTAGAGTCCCATGCAGTCGACCATGGTTTGAGTCCTGGACTCGGTGGCTTAAACTCACGCCAGGCACGTGTGCGTGCATGCCCAAGATCCTGAGAGGAGAATGAAGGAGAAGGGATTGCAGCATGGCCACTCCCCCTGGAGGGTGATTTCTCGCTTTCTATTTCTCTGTCTCTCTCTCTCTCTTTCTGGCAATTGCACGCACCCTATAGCAAAAACTTCTCCAAAAATAAAAGAAGAAGAAATAAGATACATGGACACGTGCTTTCTCTGTGATACCCTGTGCTACCCAAGGTCTCTGTAGGGACCCCCCACCAGCCAGAAGACACTCACCAAATGCAGCCCACCCACCTTGGACCTC